TTACAGAATCAGATTAACTTTCCCGTCTGGAACTTACTAACCTTAATTTGACGGCTTATTACTTGACTTTTGTGACATGATAAAACTTTAAGAAACAAATTCTAAAATCACTTCAACCTTGTTGAGCCGTCACTGTAGATAATCCCGACCACAATTTTGAGGTAGATTTCACCATCCATCTAAATAGCATTCAACAACTAAAGGCATAATGAAGAGATATTTTACAAAACTATTCTACCTTATGCTTTCAACATTAATTTGATAAGAGGCTAGGAGATGACAGTTTAAATTTAATAAAATTATGCACCGAATTAACTAGTATAAAGTTATAAGTTACATTTGTGATTACTCTGTCTTCCTAAAGTTTCATAACTAAAATATAAAGTGTAACCGTAGAATCTAATAAAAAGATAATGGAAACTACTTCGTCAATAAGAGATATGTATTTTAAAATAACTAGTTGAATCAAGATAAAATCATAAATGAAACAGAGTAATATGAATTCAATTTATTCCGTCGCTCCTCCTCAGCTAACCAAAATTTCTTTCGGGAATTAGTAATAACAGTACTGAAATCTAGATTTATCGCTTTCTAATAGTGATAACCAATAACCAACCATTTTATTTGGATGTAAACACTTCATAGTTAATTCAATGAATATAAAAAAACTGCTTAAGCAATTAACTTCCCCATAATTCTATTAAACGAAATGAAAGGAAGGTGAAGAAAAGAAGGAATAGATTATCTGCATCAAATATCAGTATTTTTATTCGAACATTGGTTGATCTAGTAAGATGAACAGACACATCTCTAACAAAATGTGAAAATAAGTTCGCTATCCAATGAAATCAAATTAAGGACGATTTCCCTGTAGTTTGAACATAATTTTAACTGGATTTTACTGTTTCTTTTGAATGAATGTACGTAAAAATAGACATTTAGGATCATAAGCTCCCAAATGCCCTGGTAAGGCCGAGGGTGGAGAGAGTCTGCCCTCCCTCTCGAAATGCTCTCACATGGGCATGCGTATACAACCACTGCCAAGGAATTTGTGCTTACTGCTTTCTCGCGGTGGGGGTGTTGTTTACAAAATTGGGAGGACGAAAAGTTAATGTCCAGAGCTTTAACCGGGTTGGTGGATATGGAGGGTTCACATAGGGCAGTAAGAAAACCTTCATTCCACACCAATGGTGCACATGAGTCCCAGCATCCTAAGAAAATAAATGGCGCATGAACCAATCGTTGGTCACCGGCTGCCATGGAACTGCATCTCCTAACGTTGCTCCACTGCCTTATGGATCAGACAGTTAGGTCGAAGGCTCCGGGTGTGGCCCCCTAAGAAAACCACGTGCTTCAGTTTGGGCACTCAGACAGTACCACAGCCCCCACACAAATCGAATGAATTATGTGGCTCATATCTATTTGGTGCCTCCTTGTACCAATTTTTATGTGTTTCAATAAATAAATAGGATCATAAACTAAGATGAATAATGGTTACATTGGTAAAGTCATCAGCATCTTAATAAAAAATTAAACAGATAGTAAACTTTTATAAATAAAATAGGAAGTTAATTTGAGTTATCAAGTTACGTGATTTTGTTAGCAACTTTTTCACGAACTGAAATGAATTAATGAGCTTATCAACATCGGGGAACTTTTAAAAACAATATTTAGGCAGTACTATAGCCAGCAAATTATAAGCAGAATAGGAACTGGTACATAATGTGGATCGATACAAGTCCCCACAATACAGCAGGCAATCTAGATGAAACCATCACGATAAACATCAAAGTAACAGTATCAGTAAGAGATAAATAACGATTAGAATATGATTCGAGAAGAATGAACGAATTCATAGAATCAAAGGTCTAGAACAGTCTAGACACTCAGAACCTGTGGGAAGATAAAAAGAATGAATGTGTTTACTTCATTGAGATTGATTCTGAATCATGTTACACAACCACTGTTCATGATAATCTTACAGAACAAACAGGGTAGTTCACAACTACCGAAATAGATCAATTCAACAGTCGGTGAATTCAAGGACTGCTGAGCCTAGCTTTCTCTCAACTTACTCTTGTATCAATTAAAATTTAGGGTTAAGCGGTGGTTAATCAGACGTAACACATATCTTGACTACATGACTAAATGAAGATTCACTATATTATCTAATAATTTGTCCTCTTCGTTCGTACTCGGTGGAGCAACACACATGATCAATCTTTTGAAGGCAGTGATGATCAAGCCCTGGTAACCTATAAATGTTCTCTACTTTTAAAGGCCAAGTTTTCCGGGAATAAAGTAAAACAGAGCGACTCCATACACGAAATTGAACTTAGACACTTTTATTCCCGCAACAAACACGTCTTTATGCTACTGAATTGAAATCTAATAGATCACACGCGAACAAACATAATGAGTTCGAACAAGTAAATAAACTGAGAAATAACTACTTTTGGTATAGAGTCTTGTTTACTGCTGATATATTATCATTAAATACAATAATTTACGAATTTTATGCGCTATATGAATCAGTTTACCACTATCTACGTTTCGAAACACAGAAATATCTAAGGATTAGTGAATGTAAAATTACACATTTTGCAACCGACAAATCATCTATTTCTTTTGATCAAACTAATATGTTGATTGAAGTTTAAAATATGAACCATTTGGATTCCGATTGAATTGTAAAACAATATATCATATTATCCGTAAGACCTGAAGCATCTAAGATAACATCGAGAAGTAGGTGTACATTGTTGAACAATTTCAAAATGACATGACATCATTTTCCAGTGCTGTTTGGCTTATGTTGAGAATCAGTACGGAAATGCCCATATATATTTCATTAGTAAACCTATTAAAACAAGAGACAATCGAATTATAACATTACAATGAATAATATATTAGAAACAAACCTACATCGAACCAACTAAATGGTTTGAAGAGTTAAGTGCTTCGATTGATCACAGAACAGTACTGAATACTTACTGTTAATGAATCCTATACTAGGACCACACAGCTGCTCAATAAAACATGTTTTTAAACGACTGTCTAGCTTAAGTCAGTTCGTGACATTAACTGCATAATTTGAAAATTTTCCAAAAACAGCCTATACTACTCTTAACTGTACAGATTTAATAGCAAAATTTCAATCAATACAGAACAAATAACCTTTATAGTATTCAAAATCACAGGTAATATACAAGAAGTACTAATCAATCAACGTAGAAATATGAAGTTTTGATAAAACTATCCAAGTATTTAATGTGGTTTATGTCAAAAATCGAACTGCGCATAAAAGTATATAGCTAACTAATAAGTTGTATAACAATGAATGGTTTATTTATGGTAAATAGTCGAATCAACATATAAAACACAATTTTAAAGTTTGTATAATCATTTCCAACGAATAGCAGATTCTTTAGATAAAAATTAGTGGGGACTGGTCTAATTTTAAAAACGTTATCAGTGATAATAGAAAATAATTGAAACTGGTCGATTAGCATTAATATGTATCCTAGAATATTAAACGGTGAATCGATTAAAGTACCTAGTTTAGTTAGATCGCCGCCGCCGCTCCCCCTATCCAGGACTTGTCAGCTGAATGTATTTCGATTATAATAGTAACGTCACATTGAAACCTGAATCTAGTACCTACTAATTTAAATACCGACAAGTTTGGATAATCACCAACTTGCTCAAAGAGTAGGAAACATATAAGATTCTGACTCAATAGTTTAAACGTGTTGTTCTCATCACCACACCTGAAGGTCCATCCCAGATTCGATCATGTGTAGGTGAGCAATTTAGCGAATCTCATCCTAAGACTAAAAAAAGGCCTATCTGTGGTATTATTATGTACTGAAAACAGATTTCGAAGTAATAATATAACATACCTACTTGGTCACCTGTCTATCTACAAATGTGGTGAACCACAACTAACACAATTCATCGTAATGTAGCAACTAACGCTGTACTCAAAACGAACACAGGTATAGTTAAGTAGTTATTTTGTAATAATAACACAATGAATTGTAATACTATCTTTTTCAGTTTAAAAATAACAATAATTATGAATAGTAACTGAAACAATAGTCACAACCGTGAGATTTCTGCTCCAAAATATTGTGGAGAGAATAAAAAATTGGCGGAGAGAAAAAATGTTAAATAACAACAATAATAGTAGGAGAGTTTACTTAACGAATATCTGAATTGATCATTTTGAGTAGAGAAAAAAAACAGGTGTCAAATAAGAAAAATAAGCAAAGTTGTCATGGATGGTAGTAGATGAAGTAAAAAAAAAAGCTGGTAACAATGTAGAACAAAGTAATAAACGGCTAGTCGAGTTTGGAAAAACGACTTCTTAAAAAAAAGACAATAAGTAATAAAAGCCCACAACCTTACTACTTGATCAAGAGGGGAGAAGGGTTGGGAGGAAAGGATTGAAATAATAAAGATAACAGTAATAATAATCGTAGTAGTACTAGTAGTAATATTAGTAAAATTATATATATATACGGGAACGGAGACATTTTAACAGAAGAATAAGATAAGTACACAATAAATAGTAACAATAGAAGTTATGAGATTCATATAAATGGACTAATACCTATGAAAGGTTGCATAGTTCACACAAGAGTCCTGTGTAACTGTAGTAACAAGAACATCAATGTTAATAATAATAATGCAACTGATAACAGTGAACGATAAGACAAGATAAACAGATAAATAAACACATTGAAGATAAAACATTTATTCATGATATAACAAAAGAAAGAATGAATTAAAAACTGTTATTTAACTAGAAAAATAATAACAATGAACGAACAAACGCTACAATGTAAATGATAATAATAATGATAATATAAAGGTATATTGGATGTATCATTACTTTTTATCTCTGTGATTGTCACACAGTTTTCTCTTATATTCTGAAGAAAATAAAAGAGATAAAAGAAGATCAATAAACTTAGGAAACACATTCAATTATTTATTTATTTATTTATGACGAATTTTGATAATTTAATTAAAGTTTCTAAACAAGAATGATCCAATAAAGTTGATGTATCACCAAATTCATAATCTTCATTAGCTATTTTACGTAAAATACGTCGTATAATTTTACCACTACGTGTTTTTGGCAATACAGGTGCACTCTAAATATAAAAAGAAAAAAATGAAAGATTTAACATTGAAATGATGATAAGTGAGAGAAATATAAATTAAAGAAAATATGGATACAAAAGGTGGAGAATTAGACTCATTAGTAAATTGTTAATAGGAGATCATTGAATTTCAATGAAATCATGAACAGATCAATATTAGATAATTATTAAAGACCTGGGGATAATGAATGACCATTTCGTTCTAGTATAAGGCTATTCAGAACGAATCAGCTATTCAATGCTTACATGTTTTAAATGTTGGTCTAACTTTAATTGGTTCATGATTTTAATGAAACTCTACAAAAGAATGAACGACTCGAAAACCTCGATTTCCAGTATTGGTTTATGCATTTTGTACTAGATTCTGGATGTTCTTTCTTTCTTATTATCGTTGATACTGTATTCTTTAGATAATTTTGTTAGTTATCCTATAAAATTTCATGTCATCATGTTGATGTGGTACGTGAAATTAGGCCGACCCACATTTATTCCAGGTTCTACGTTGTTTATGATTAACTAATCGTCGAGTGAATACGTTAGTGTAATCTTACCAAATTTAATAGATATTGACCTATTCCCTTTCAAAATACTTCTAAGTTGTGACATACGTTTTCCATATTCATTTTCACTCTTTAAAAATACCCCTGAAAGTCCTCTGAAGCAAGGCTCTACAACTACCTGACCGTTTCTCCACTCAGTGTTTTCCTAAAATTGTGTAAATAAACGAATATATCAAATTGAGGTCATTAACAATCACTTGGCAAGTGAATCAGCGATAAGGGAAAAGAGACCAGACACGTTTAATGGATGTATCGACACAGGAAATCGATAGTCACCTAGATCTTACAATCTTAATTATTATAGCTGAAACGTTTGACTGACTTGAAAAGAGCTATTTCCCTTAATGCATTCTCTTCATAAATAAATCTCAACATTTATTGCACGAATTTCCCGAAATGTTTTCACCATCACATGACTTTGAGATTTTTGAGACCAGTGAAAAAGTTGGAAAAAACATGAAATACTAAAAGACTAGCTAAAAATAAAAATGACATATATAAGCGGTCTTAAACACATGTCTTTTGAACTCTGAGGTCGCACTCCCCGATCAACAAGATTAACAATATTAAACCAGATTTTTGAGGTTACTCATGATAAAATATCTTCGAACCAGATACAGAACATTTCCTGTAATAACACATGAAGTGAATTCTGGGGAACTTAATTCTTTCAATACTTGAAATCATAAGTCAATTGAAGCTAGACCACCATGGAAAACCTGGAAGCACTGGACAGCCGTTTAGTCCTACCATGGGACTCCCCAGCAGTGAGCATCCGCTTGATTTAACTAGCATGTATGGATAACGATTGAGTTTACTTGTTTTGAAGTCTATTTATTTGAAAAATGAATTGTTTTCCCAGTTCGACTAAAACTTTATAAATATATAATTACCTGAATGTAATCTGGAGTAGCAAAAGGTCCAATTTTTGTTCGAATCATTTGACATAATTCTGACTTCATTTCTTGTGTAATTATATCAACATTCATGAAACCATTCATATGATCATTTAATATAGAATCTTTCAATGTAACAAAACAATATAAACATTCACCCTTAACTGGATGTTTTCGACCGACAACAGCAGCTTCACTAACATTTGGATCTAATAGAAGAGCATTTTCTACTTCTGCTGTACTAATAAGATGACCACTAACATTCAGCATATCATCTAAACGACCTGATTTATGGAAATATAGAAAGCGAATAGAAAAAATATTTATATACATAGATGTAATTTTATAGTTTTTCCTTAATTTATCATAGATCATACAACGATTTTGGTATTTCGTTATGTCAAGGTATATTACCGATAAATTTACCTTTAGAAGCTGTATGTTATCGGTGTTACGCTTTAAAAATCGATTACCAAAAAACTCTTATACGATGAGTAAAACTACAGTGATCATGGTTAAAACAAAACTGAAAGCCTCCATTATGAACGGACGATGAATGAGCTATGAACATAAATTTTGCATTTAATTTCGCACATTCCACTTAGACTAACCCCATTCGAACGACAGCGGTAATAAAAGCCGGAATACGATTCAAGTTGAACGAATTTACTTTAGAGAATCTTTTACTCAGACATACATTAAGATGAAATGATGAAGGCTGACGTGACAACTCAATTTAATTAAAACAGTAAATATTTATGGACATGAAAGATACAGGCACATCATATGACCACCCACACATGATTAAGGTTACATATATGAATGACAAAATGATGGAGATGATTAGAATAACTGATCTGTTCGTGTAGGTATGTAACAGTGCTGGTTGCTACAACCGCCTTGCGTGAGAGGCTAATCTCAAATAAAAGAACTCTGTGATTTACTAAACAAGATACTTTCATAAGTGGGTTTTTTTATATCAATCAACTTTACCAGACTAAATTCACCAGGCTACGTAATTTCCGTTTGTACCAATCTCTCAAGATTTATCCACTTTTGGATGAAACAATCTTTCTTGAAATGATGAACAGGATTAATAGGTTCAGTAAATAATCCTGGTAGTGTTGTGTATTCTCTTGGCTTCGAATCAAAGCAAATACTGATGATATTATCCAAAAGGATAATGCGAGTTCGTAGACTAAACCATCCGGTTTAAAAAAAAACACCGAAAATTCTTTTCTATTTGAAATTCTTCAGACAACCGGATAATATAAACCATAAATTGTTAACTTTTGTATACTCTAACTAACAAGTAATGTGGCGATTAGTTTAATTCGTAAGTAGTTTTGGTTACAGACAAATGCCAGTTGGATTTTAGTTATGCTGAGTGTGATGTGATTACCTATCGATGGTATTGGATGATTATAGCGCTATGTAAGCAAGTTGATTGAAGTTAAATTTGTGAATCAGTCGTCTGAAAGTATCGAATTCACTGTGATACCTGAAAATGTTTTAATTAGATCCCTAACATAATCATGGCTCACTGTTTAGAGAAGTGTCCAATTAAAGTGAAATCTTTGTATGTCCCATTATTTCCGATTGTTTTATTTTATGTCGTTATCAACCAAAGATAAACAACATCGGACCCGAACATATATGCATTGATTCAGGTTACATTAACATAATCGGAAAGGTGAGATGAAATAATCAAGACAAATATCAGAATAGTAGAAATAGAGTCAGATTATCAATGGTAATAGAAAACATTTAGCACAGACAATAATGATTACAGAATAAAGAATGAATTTGTGAAATAGCAAAATATAAGTGTATAATTTTAAAACTCAAGTTAGCCCAAACTAAACAACTTGCAAATTTCTATTAAAATAAAATAGAAGTCGAAATACTTCATCGAAATGCAGAAAAGTTTTCTTTTCTCTTGGTAAAATGCAATTTCTTGATTGAGTTCATGAACTGATTGATGTCAGACCACCGTTGAAAACCTGGAAGCACTGAACGGCCGTTTCATCCTATTGTGGAACTCCTCAGCAGTGTGCATCCAGATATCTACTTCAGTACAACGGAAGATGGTTGCGCAATTCCGTGGATTGGTCGAGGTTAAACATTAACACTGTTGGATGCCAACTCAGTGGTCTGGAGATTATGCGTTCGCGTGCGAGACTGACGGCCTTGGATTCGAACCCAACGAGCGAGATCGTGGATGCGCACTGCTGAAGAGTCCTACAATAGGACGAAACGGCCGTCTAGTGCTTCCAGGTTTTTAGCGGTGGTCTAACATCACTTAGTTCGTTACCTCAATCAAAAAATTAATAATCTCCAAAACCCTATACTGATAAAATGAAATTTCAACTAAATATTATGTTTAGAAAAGTTTAATTGTTGAAAGATATAAATAATTCAACAATGGTCGTCGTAAATAGATAAACAGACAGGTAGTAAATACAGAATATAGAATAGGCAATGAATGGATCTAGTGGGTAATAATAGAAACACTGACAGAAATGATTTCCTGCTCAATCAGTCGAGCAACAACAGCAACACCAACAACAACAACCAGAAAAATAGTCAAAATAAACTGGAAGTTGTATTTTTTTTCCTCTAGAATTAGGAACAACAATTGAATGAAAGAAAGGAATGAAGAGTAACCAATCATTTCATTTACAATTAGGCATATACATACTAGTGCTGTATTGAAAAGCATTTCTTATTTTAAAGAAAAACAAGCATTTTAAACAAGTAATACTAGTATTTTTAGATTCGATTGTTAGAAAAATAGAAGGAAATTCTAAATTGTATCATGGGAAATGATGTGTAGTTTGTACATACAGTTAGAATATAAGTTGAATATCAAGAGAACAATAACTAAAAAGAAAAACCATAAAGATTAATGATAACAAATGAACTTATAATCTAGAACAGAAAATGATGGAAATTAACCTTTGACAAGGTTTACTTTTGTTAACTCAGATTCATGAAAAAAAGAAATTAATGAAAGATGAAGGAAGAATTAAACATTAAGGATTATAGTCAATTTGTATAAATGATTAACGATGTTTTTTGTACATATTTGTATGGTTGAGTTAATGAATGAGGTTACGCTAGTCAGGTCGCAAATATCTTGGATGGTGTTTGCTTCATATAAAAACAAGTATAACGATCAAACACCCTTTTGCAAGATACATATATCCGGTGACTCAAATTCATAAAGAGGTTTGATATGTGCGTTATTATGGTTTATGACTAAATCAATAAACGACATTCATTTTAGTCCTCACCACTCAGACCCCTTCTGCTCTTGATGTAACCTGTCTTTATTTAATTATCAACCATCAAACTGTAACCTCTTTATGACCATGACTGTTTCGTATTAATTTACCGTTGTAGCATCTATGATTACTGTTCGGTATGTTGACCTATTCTAACCTCTTCTTTTTATAGTGAGAAGGTAGCATTGATGATGATGATTCCTATCTGAAGGAAACACCTTACCTTATTTGAGTAAAGTTGGTAGTACGAATTAACATACATACCTTAATTTTGCTGATTTGTCTTACCGCCCTCTAACTGAGCTGCTTGGTATGATAGAATCTAAAGGAACAAACTTCCTTCTGATAATTTGGAATTCTAACAAAAGTAATGCTTTCTTTCTCACTTATATGACCGTACTTCTCCATTAGAAGCTGAAACGTCATCAACTAGGTCGATTCTTTCACTCAAAGAGATACATTATCTTTTTTATAGTTTCAGCTGTAATAAGCAAAGAGAGTTCATGGGGTTTTAAGTCATACTAAAAGCGATTTTATTGTGAGAATAATAACAGTATGAAACTATTTATATACAAACGGATGCAAAATAAAGAATATTTTTCTAATTCAACGCATAGCATAATTACTCAATCTAATCCATAAAAAACAATATAACTTCGTCAGATTTTTATGGGACACATCACATTAATACAGCAAGAGGGAATTGAAACGAGTGTAAAAAGAGCGCGTATCCAAATATAGATAAGTCTATACATTTAGACCAGTACTCAATGATTACAAATTACAGAATACACATTTTAATGTGATCACTATCAGACTTGATTTATTTATTTTGGCATTATCAGTTAACGAATCAACTTTACTCACTTTTATTTTACTAATCTTTACAAACCACCTGTCGACTGTTTCTTAATTAAAAAAGTGAAACTACAATATGTAGACGAACTAATGGGATTTCAAACAGCGCGAAATCCACTCATCCATATGGCTAAAAAGCATTCTGTCATAACTGATGTCAGTTTGTGGTAAAAACACTAACTCTAACGTTAAACTCTAAATCCTAATACTAATTTCTTACACTAATTTAAAACCCTTTTTGACCCTAGTAAGGTAACTATTCTCAAGATCACTTTAGCATCGGTCAAAGGTCGTTCGTAAAATATAGCCTAACCATGGAAACTTTATTCAATTTTTATAAGATGATTTATACAAAATCCAATTACTTACCTGTTATCCAAAAATCTCCATCTTTATCTAACACAGAACCGTCACCAGCAACATAATAACCAGGAAAACGTTTAAAATAAACTGATTCAAATAATTCATAATTATTATTGATTGTTCGCATCATACCAGGCCATGGTTTAGCAAAGACCAAATAACCTTCTACATTGATACCTAGTGTTTTTGACTTTTCTGTTAAATCTTCACCACTCTCAGATAATATTCGAGCATCAATGCCAAAGAATGGTTTAGTAGCACAGCCAGGTTTCATTATATTTGCTCCAGGTAATGAAGTAAGCATATGTCCACCAGTTTCTGTTTGCCAAAATGTATCAACAATTGAACATTTACCATTACCCACAACATTATAATACCATTCCCAAGCGGATACGTTGATTGGCTCACCAACACTTCCAAGGACCTAAAAAGTTTATTTGTTTTTTTGCGAAAAAACGATAAACACGGGATTATACTACATTGAAACTCTGGTTCTATTCAATAAAATTTGTAAATTTCATTGTTAATATACCATCTCAATCGGACAACTGTTAAAGGAAATGAACGTTGAATTATGTGACAAACTTAGAGCTCTCCATACAGCAGTAAAAACTAGCTATTCTACATTGAAAACAAATCGTAAAGTTTAACATAGTAAAGAGATATATCAAACTGCTTTGTTTATCTTGGCCAACTTTAGACCTAATAAGTCAAGTTATCTTAACAATTGAGTTGAATTACATAAATTCTTGGGTCTTGCATTCTTTTAAATCTTAAATCTATCTTGTTCAGGTATTATTGTAATTATCATCATTATTACTTGCATTATTTATCTATTAATTTACCCGAACACAAATATTGGTACAAAGGGGTAACAAAATAACTAGTCACAAAAATCACTAGATTTCTGTATGGGATGAGATACTTTTCAGGTGCACAAATCGAAGTGGGTGATTTTCTTAAGAGATAGTTCCCCGAACCTCTGATCCATAGGTCTAATCCACAAGGAAGTGGAGCAACATTAGATGTGGCCTTATGGTAGCTGATCATCAGCAACAGGCTCGTACTATTTCTTAGTGAAACCATATCACTTAATACATTACATAATATTCATTTAAACATTTAACTTGACGCGTGATTACATTTTTATCTTACTTAATTACTTACGCCTGTTACCACTCGTGGAGGAGGATAGGCCACCCACCAGCATTCTCCATCCAATTGTCAAGGGCAATAATTTTCGGTTGTTTCCAGTTGTTATTCACCCTAATTTCCTCCTCAATTGGAAGCTGGTTTGTTCTCCCACGCAGTAGATTGTTACTGATAGTATCCGGTCAACGGACATTCAGTATCTTGCGTAGACAATTGTATGTAGATACTTGTACCTTTTTGATGGTGATTGTGGTAGTTCTTTAAGATTTCAGTTCCGTAAAGTTGAACTGTCTTGACGTTCGCATTGAAAATTGTGACTTTAATATTGGTTGACAGTTGTTTTGAGTTTCATATGTTCTTCAACCTTTGGAATGCTGTCCTTGGTTTGCCAATCATCGTCTTTACATCCGCATTGGATCCTTCCTGTTCATCGATGATGCTTCTCAGTTACGTGGAAGATTATGAATCTTCATCGACTGAGATGGTTGGGCCACGTGTTGCGTATGCCTGAACACCGATTACCACGACGCGCAATGCTAACGGGTGTTAGGGATAATTGGAAGAAAGTTAGGGGCGGCCAAACCAAAACGTGGCATCAGTGTTTGAAGTCACTAACTTCTGGTTTGAGCTATGTTGGTAGATGTAGACTACCTGGTTGGGGTCCGCGTGACTATCGTAACCAATGGTTGGAGACTCTTGGTGACATGGCCCAGAATCGATCACAATGGCGTCGGTGCATACACTCTCTATCTTCCCTAAAACTAAGAGATTAAAATCGCTTCATATCTTTCTTCCTACGAACTAATTCTTTCTTCATGTACTATGTCCTTAAATGCAATCTTTCTTCTGTATATTACTACCACTAAATTAACTACTTCTATGAATCCGGTGTTCATCTTGTTGGGCTAATGCGGTATGGCAACTTGGACCGATGCATATATGTGCCTGGTCCTACGTTGCAGCTGACTGACATGAAAAATTCATCATCTTCCAGAGTCTCTCCATCAAGTATGATTGGGTTGGTGTTCTCTGTGTTGAATTTGAGGATCTTGCTTTTTCCTTTGTCTATGTTGAGACCTAAGACTGCAGAAGCTGCCGCTACACTAGTTGTCTTCATCTGCATTTGATGGTGTGTGGGGTAAAAGGATCAGGTCATCTTCACATTCTTATCTTACTGACGCCGTATGTTACATATATTTATGCTGATCATTAATTTAGATTGATATTTAAACTTATTCAGGTGAATATTACATACTAGACATTATTACATGAACAATTTTATTTTAATATTATCAGTAATCCTAAATTCATATTATGTACGTCTTAAAAGATGTATTTGCTTTAGTATCCATTTGGATCTTTAACTGGAACATGATGAATTTATACAGAAAATGTATTCGTTGTCCAGCTAGTAGGAATAAAGTATACGGACTAGCTTAAAACAACAGCGAAAAATATTCCACCAATTTTTAGTCAACCAGAAAATAACCTTTGTCAATGGATAGTTTATGAAAAACAAAAACAAAAATATTACAGTGTAGACTGATTCCACATATGTAAATAATTTTTTAATCTTCTACCCGTTAATCTGGCTGTAAACTGAAAAAAAAACAATGACATATAAGTCCGTCCTTACAGATACAGATTATCCGTCTTCTCGAGCCCTTATAAGGACCCAGATCAATTTATACGAGTCCACACACTGTTCGCAGTTAGGTTTAGGGTTGGCGTTTTTAACACGAACAGATGGCGTCAGATATAATTTAGAAATACACTGTAGCCAAACAAAACGAATTTCATGCAAAAGCAAAATGCAACACATTCTATTTGACTCGTTTGTACATAAAACAGTGCCACCGAGTTAATATTTAATTTACGATTGAGGGTTTGAGGTTACAATTTACGTAAAGTATCGCTTAACCAGTTATATGCAGCCTACAAAAGCATAATTGGGGATTTGACAAGGTTAACACCATCATATTTACTTTATGGTGGTAAAAAGTAATTTTTTAAAATCAATTTAAACGTTTTGAACAGTAAACAAAGGTATTTTTGCCGTTAGTTATACGTGATACTTGAATTTGATGCAAAAACTTAAAACCACTTTCTTGATTCTGATTGACTTGTCCCTTCCCTATACTTTCACTAATCAATTTGTATATTTCCTATTTAACTAAACGTCAAATTTAGTAAAACACAAATACTAGTCCGAAGTGCTTTTTTATAACTCAACTGGATACGTCAATAGCAACAGAGATGTATTCATATAATAACCTACACTATACTATATACCAATAAAATTCACAACAATTAGAAATTGACAACACAATGACGAATATTCACCTTTAATGATGTACGATCATAACATTGGACGTACTGATCACCAGCTTTTATTAACGTACGAATTGCTGTTGGAGCTGTATAGAATTTTGTCACTTTATATCGATCTACGATAGACCAATATCGACCCGGATCAGGCCAAGTTGGAATACCTTCAAATATTACACTAGTAGCACCGTTTAATAATGGTCCATATACAACATATGAATGGCCTAAAGAGAAATGATAATTAGGTTATTTGTACCTTATTCTTGACTACATATTTTGTTAATTTTCAGAAGAATATAGGCTATTTAAATATTAACAATGTTATAATGAATATTATATTGTACACCAACTATTTACCTGTTTAAAGTAATGATATCAATTGAAAATCTATCTAGAATTTCATGTACATATATACTACTAAATATTTCTATTACTTGTGAGAAGTGTTTAAATTGTCTAGTTTGAAAAATCAGAAATAAGATTCAGAGAGATGCTTAATAAAAACAACTCAAGCAGAAAGTCTTAACAGAGATTAGTAATGATTGTAGAACCATTAGCAGTTTACAGCTTTTCAACATTGTACACTCATAACTTTACATATGGAATTGAACCTAAGGCCTTCAAGTCTGATGATGAAAATGATACACTTAAACTATTGAGTAAGGACTACAATGGTCTAGGTAGTGGTCGAATTAGAATAGATTAAGTACTATTCGATTTAATGACATAATGAATGATGAATCAAGACTTTGAACCAATGAGTTATCATTGTAAATAAAAACTGCACGTACTCCACGATCCTAAAGAACACACCTAGCACCCAACACACGAAGATCGGACCGTAATCGTCAGCTGTTAAATTTTATGGGGCTGTGGTGCACTAACTTAATGTTACTGATTCACAGACTTAAAAATCAATACTTTCCATTTTGATGAACCGAACCTAGTTGTATCGTTAGCATTAATACGATAAACGTAGCTTATAGTTAAACACACCAAATTACACAGAATAAGTGGGATTAATTTCGATTTCGTAGTATTTATGTATTTAAACACATAAAAATTGGTACAAGGATGCACCAAATAGATATGCGCGAGATAAATCATTCGATTTACGTGAAGGCTGGGATACTGCTCGAAACAGGTGGTTTGCTTAAGGGGCCACACCCGATGTCTTCGACCTAAGGGTCTGATCCACAAGGCAGTGAAGCAACGTCAGGAGATGTAGTTCCATGGTAGCCGGTGACTAACAACAAGTTTATACGCCATATGCTCCTTCAGGATCCTGAAGCCCATGTGCACCATTGTTTGGAAACAGGATTTTTCAACTCCCATAGATGGATCCTCCATATCCACCAACCCGGTCAAAGCACCGGACATTCGTTTTTCGTCCTTTGAATTTCGTAAACACTCCATTCGCAATAAGGCAGTGAGTAGGACTTCCCTGGTAGTGACTGTATATGCGTGGCCATATAGGTAAGTGGAAGCAAATGAACATTCCTCAAGATTTAGTGGTAATTCCATGAAGACAAAGAAACTGATAAAGCCACCTAGTCTCACTCGACAGTTATCAGTTCTCATAAACCTTAATATATTTACATTAAACTGACTAACCTCAATTTCTGCTGTTTTGCATTATCCTGTTTTTGATATATTTCGACTGGAATTTCATCAGTCTTAGTGGGTATATGTACATTTTGTGCGCATTGTCTCGATATATCCATTATAACACAAATTTATACACATTCCATCTATTCTGTATAAACTTTTGTTATAATGTCTATATCGAGGCAATCTGCACAGGATGGACATATATCCACTAAGACTCATTAAATTCCAGCCAACCACCTCCCAGTGTGCAACCGACTCACACCTGACATAGTTGAACTCCAATGTTCACAACTTTTCACTAGAACCTCGTGGATTACCTTTTGAAACTAGCCGCTAATAAGCACAGAGTAAGACGATAGAGGTGTCTAGTGCTGTCTCATTTTCACTGGTTGTTTAAGGTTAATCCATGATGTAAACTAAGAAAATTCAAACATCACGAAATCCCCCATGCCAAATAACTATATATTGTTAAAGATTTTTCATAAATACACTCAGTTGTATACATCTCAACATAGAGTCGATTTAAAATAAATTCATTATCATTATAGCATAGCACACCTGTTATCCAACCAGCATCAGCAGTACACCAATAGATATCATCTTCATGATAATCGAACGTGTAGAAGAATGTTGTAGCTGTATAAACCATGTAACCACCAGTGGTGTGTACAACACCTTTCGGTCGTCCTGTACTTCCACTTGTATAAAGTATAAATAACGGGTCTTCTGAATTCACCCATTCTACAGGACAATCAGTATTTTCAGGAATAGTACTGATTATATCATGCCACCAATAATCACGACCATCCTTTAATGGAACATCAAGCCTATTTAAAGTTATAAAAAGAAAATGGTGTTATTATAAAAATATATCAGTAAAATAAAACCTAAATGGAAAAATAACAAGTCAAATAAACTGAACATCATATAGTAATAGAGAGTGGCAATAAAGTCGGACTAAAAATAATGGTGCATGAACCATTTACGAAGAACAAACTTATGTACTCAGATTTAAGCCATATATTTCGAGTGTGTGTGTGTGTGTGTGTAGGAAGTAGTGGTACTTCTCGATTGCCCCTCATAAAATACATGAAGTGAACTTCGTAACTTAACCATCTACATTAATAGATCACTGAATAGCAACCAGTCTTATGATTATCTAACCATTAATGTTAATTAAATTAAATCAACCTTTAAATAAAGCAAGAACAAATATTGATGCAGAATAGTATGAATTCATAATATTTCGAGGTTTCTCGTCAGCTGCTTACAACCAAATATGTGATAGAATTTTTACATTAAGATAGTGTAAAACAATTGGCATAAATGAATGTAAATAACTGGAATGACAAAGATTTACAATATATATATATATATATATATATATATATATATATATATATATACCATATATATTGGTGTTAGAATTAAGGAAACAATTAAAGATGGATGATGTAATAGTTGGATGGAGTTTATACATTGTGTTATAATTATTTAGAGGTAATAGAACAGTGATAAGATAGGTTACGTAATAATTGAACAGAATTTGAAAAGTTAACATAATTTAAGAGGATCAGTGGGCGGAAATGTGTGAATGAAAAGTTGGTTTAAGAATTAGGTAATGGGGGGGAATATAACCCAAAATAAATATTTTAAAAATAAATAAGTGAATAAAATAACAAAAAAAACCCAGAAAAAAATGGATTGCCAGGGTAATAATAAGTTAATTAATGTCTCTTTTTGAATGTATAAATCCGGTTTAAGTTTTTTTATCGCTATCGCTTCCGCGAAACAGAGAGTAGTAGTACTTCTTTGTCTATTGATAATTTTGAAAGCGTGCGAAATATCAATGGTATGCCCGGTGTCCAGTAAATGCCGAGCTATTGCACTGTTAAGAGCCTTAGTCCCACGCAGCCTCAAGTTCTTTGGAACATGCTCAGAAATACGAACACGTACTCTTCTCTCAGTTCTTCCAATGTATGTGCTTTGGCACGTACATGTGAATTGGTAAATGCAGTTGGAGCTACTAAGAAAAGAGTTTGTTTAAGTGAGCAGCTCGTTTTCCATACTGTCATTAGTTTTGCTGCTGGGTAGGCAACTTTCAATGCGGAATTTAGTCTGTGATTAATGAAGCCAGCAATTTTATCTCCTTTAAAACGTAGATGTAAGAAGCAAGATTTCTTTTCAACTCTATCATACTTTGCCTGAGGATTATTTTTGCATATTTGTGGATGAATTTCAAAAGGTATGCATTTTCACGTAGAACATTAGTGATGAGAGTAATCTCATCATCCAGGCATTCCTTTGAACAAATTTTTCGAGCGCGGTCAAAAAGGGTTCGCATCAAACCCTCTTTGTAACTCATTGGAAAGAAACTATAGTAATTGAGATGGAGTCCACTCCAAGTATTTTTATGATGAATGTGTCTGTGTAATGTGCCATCAGATATTCGTCTGATCCCAATATCAAGGAAATGGAATTTACCTTCTTTTTCCATAGTAAATTCTATATTCTTATGTGCTTTATTGAACAGATTGAGTAATCTAATGGTATGCTTATGATTGTTACAGACGAGAAATGTGTCATCAATGTATCTACAGTAGAGTGTAGTACAGTCGATTGCGTGCTTAGGCTTTTTTAGTTCCAGATATTCCATAAATATATCGGCAAGAATTGGGCCCAACGGGCTACCCATGGCAACTTCATCAATTTGACGGCAAAAGACATTATTAAATTGAAATTGTATGTTTTTAATACATAAAAAAGGAGCTGTTTAAAATCATGAATTGGTAGAGGTAGAAGTTCAGGATATTTACATATTTATTTATTTTAACACATAAGTATAGGTACAGGGAGGCACCAAATACATATGCGCCACACAAATCTCAATTGATTTGTGTGAGGGCTGTGATACTGTCCGGGTGCCCAAACCGAAGCAGGTGGTTTTCTTAGGGGGCCACACCCCGAGCCTTTGACCTGAACGTCTGATCCACAAGGCAGTGGAGCATCGTGTGGAGATGCAGTCCCATGGTAGCCGGTGACCAACGATTGGTTCATACGCCAATTGTTCCTTCAGGATACTGGAGCCCATGTGCACCATTGGTTTGGGGTCCGGTTAAAGCGCCAGACATTCGCTTTTCGTCCTCTCATTTTTGTAAACAACACCCCCGCCACGAGAAGGCAGTGAGTAGGACTTCCCTGGCAGAGGCTATATACGCATGGCCATGTGAGAGCATTTCGAGAGGGAGAGCGGACTCTCCCCACTCTTGGCCGTACCAGGGCATTTGGGGGCATATTTACATATGATTTCAACCGTTTCTTCCAAGGGGATGTTTGTGAAGAGTGATGAAAGTCAAATGAAACCATAAATTTATCAGAAACATTTAGGTTGTCGAGCTTTTGTGCGAATTCAAAACTGTCTTTTAGACTGTAGGGTGCTACTTTCTTTCGGATTGGTTCTAGTTATTTACATTCATTTATGCCAATTGTTTTACACTATCTTAATGTAAAAATTCTATCACATATTTGGTTGTAAGCAGCTGACGAGAAACCTCGAAATATTATGAATTCATACTATTCTGCATCAATATTTGTTCTTGCTTTATTTAAATTCATAAAGGGAACTAACTGCAGTAAATCAACCTTGTTTAACTGACAGATCATTTTTGATGCCGTCGAAATGTACTTATAGTATGAAGTGAATTCTTTCTTTCCTATCGTCAACATTTTAAATAAAAATTAGTGTATAGGTGAATAAATAAATAATGCAAATTTGGGCTCTACATTCTAGTTAAAGAGTATGAAAGAAGAGGGTAGAAACAATCTCATTTATCATTATGATGAAGTTTGAATTGCAAATAATTAGTTTACTGTACAAATATATCAAATTAATTTTCATCAATAAAAATTGTTTATGATAAAAGGATTCCAAAAGTGAATTTTATTTTCTAATGACAGAAAAACTTACATTGAAGCGGGTCGAATGCCATCTTTACTTTCAATATTATTACTGATTCCATTAGTGGATTTAGAAGGAAAAGCAGTAACATGTTGAAATACAACACATCGTTGAACAAAATATCCTTTATCTTCACACATATCCATTGCAGTAGACGCAATTGATTTAAGTTGAATAAGTTTCGACCCTCTCCATGTTCCATCAGCAGTGATAAGAATGCTACACCTGATTAAAAGAAAAAATCAGGTAGGAAATTTTTTGATTACTTCGAAATAATAAATATACTGAGATAAGAATTCTACTAAGCGAAATCTGCACAGTTCAAATATTAAATCAATGCGCATAAACGAAAAAACAAAATCACAGAATTTAGGGAAAAAAGAAATATGTCATTTTTTAACAGAAAAATGTTGAATAAATATATTTGCATCACACTATTTTGACGATTTCTCATAATGGTTAATATCACGTACTAATCGTATTTAAACAACTACTGAAAACTAGGAAGCCCTGGACAACTATCTTCCGCTTTTATGAGGCTTCGCATCAGCATGTATCCACAACCCATCACCAAGAGTCGAACTCAGGACTTCAGACACGCACGCGAACGCTTAACTTCGAGACCCCTGAGTCATCCTAAACTAGGATGGAACGGTAGTCCAGTGTTTGTCAGTTTTCAATGGTTGTTTAGCTAAGATCAGTTCATGATTTTAACTAGAAAATCTTCATAACCCTCCCATCTAAGTGATGAATTATCAGTTGCAAAGACAGAACATATTTAAGCAACAAATAATGATTATAAAAAATAAACCATTGAAATAATTTAATTAACAAAATTGAGATGGGACAGAAAGTCAGAAGATACAGAAGAGAGAGGAAGAAGATAGGAAGAAGAGAAAGAATAAGAAAGATAATGTAATATCCTCTGGTCCTAATGCTTATGCTTTGAAAACGAGAACCTTGTAATTCCCCACAGCGCCTAGTGAGAACACATAGACTGATGATAAGGATTTACTGAGCCTCCAAAATAAATCAAAATGATACATGAATACACTCATCTACATGTCAATTTTACTCACGTTTCATGATTAGTTAACAACTATTACGTATAGAAGAAATACACAGAATTACTACAAAAACTCAAGCTACATATCATACTGAACAAAGTTCACATTTAAGTGATACAAAGGATACTGCCCCGAAGAAACATAACACTGAAATATACTCAACGTTGTATTGAACAAAATATTACCCTGAAAATAAGACAAATATTACAGAATAATCATCATATTAAATTAAAATGGAAGTAATGTTGAACGAAAATTTAAGTTCATATGTCATTCACACTCTAGTCGACTAACCCATTGCTCGGCATATCAGAGAAAATAAAGGAAGAGAAGATTTAAAAAGAAACGCTAGACATCATAATTGAAAATGATCAATTTATTTTGTATATAATCTAGACATATCAAATAAAGTGAAGTCACCGGTAATAATAAACAAATAAACACAAGAAATCGAACGATTAAGATTAAAAATTAACGCTATACATAACAGTCAGTTAGTGGCGGCCAAACCAAAACGTGGCATTAATCCTTGAAGTTACTAACTTCCGGTCTAAGCCATGTTGGTAGATGAAGACTACTTGGTCGAAGTTCGCGTGACCATCATAACTAAACGTTGGAGACTGGGTGATATGGCTTAGGACGGATCACAATGGCGTAGGTATATACATTCTTTGTCTTCCTTTAAGCCGTGAGATTAAAATTGCTTTATACCTTTCTTTCTACGAACTAATTTTTTATTACTATATTATATTCTTATACGCAATATTTCTGTTACATATTACAACCAATGAAGTAACTGCTTCTATGAATTTGGTGTTGTTGTGCTAATGAAGTGTGGCAACTGTGACCGATGCATGTATGTTACTGTTCCTGCGTTGTAGCTGACTGTAGGTGGATTTGTCAGAAAATAATTATGTAATGAGATTGTTTCCAGACAGCACAATTTAATCACACAAACGACAACTTCAACCTTGTTTTTGTACGTATGACTCTGCATTTTATCAGCGTCTTCACCAAACGGGACTACGTCATCTGCGTATTCTAAGTCGATAAGTGGGCCTCCTGGTAGGAGATCAATACCCGAGAATTCAGTCGACGAGAATGTTATTTCCATCAGTAGGTCTATGATGAAGTTAAACAAAAATGGAGAAAGTGGACAGCCTTGACGGACACCACTTGAGGTTCCAAAATCGGATGACAGCTCACCATAAGCTCTGACTCGACTAGTAGTGTTCGAGTAAAGAGCCTTCACATGGCTTATGTACTGCTGAGGTACGCCTTTCAATGAAAGACATTGCCACAGGATCTTGCGGTCTACGGAGTCAAATGCTGCTTTTAAGTCAAGACAGACCACCATTGTCGTACTTCGATAAATATACCTGTGTTATAGAGGCTGACGAATGATGAATATGTGGTCGATGCATCCACGACCAGGTCTGAAGCCAGCTTGATTCTCTCGTGTTTGCAGTTCACGAGTCTTAGTTAGGCGTCCTATAGTTATCGAGGCTAGCATTTTAGATACTATATTAGTTAAACTAATCCCTCTATGGTTGTCACAGGATGATTTTGACCTTTGCTTATATATTGGGACGATAAGTGATTGTGACCAGTCAGAGGGGATTATGTCCAACTCCCAGATTTTAACTAAAATATTAGTCAACCTAGTCGCTAAAATTGGACCACCATCCTTAAAGACCTCTGGAGCCAATCCATCTGGATCAGCTGCCCTTCCTCGTTTTAGATTAACTATAGCCTTTTGAACTTCATCTAGAGTTGGAGGACCTACTTCAATGTTCCATTCACACTGTCTGGGAATGAAGGGTAGTTGTAGAGTAGCTGAAGGCCAGCTGAACTATTCTCTAAAATGTTCCGCCCATCGTTCTAAACGTCTGGACTGGGAGCAGATGAGAGTGCCGTTTTTTTCCGAAATAGTCTGACTTACACTTGACTTTTTAATTCCAGTTTCTTTTATTAATCTGTAGAGTTATCTTGTGTACCCTATAGCCGCCGCCTTTTCCATCTCTTTTGCTTTCGTTGCCCACCACTGCTAACCATCGTTCCTTAGACTTTTGCTTAACTTAGATCTGATTTGTTTACGCTCTTCATCGTGTTCAGAACCTGATGGGATGAGTTTACGAGAATCCGTCGGTGCAATAGACTTGGAAAAAATCCATTGGTTCTTTGTAACCCTGTGGTTTAAATTACTAATAGGTGTCACTGCTGTTTCCACAGCTGCTTGTATATCTTTCCAAACAACATCTGGGTCAGCCTCGTTTTCAGAACTACTTAAGTGTGACCTCTGTTGTTCTTAGAACCTACGTTTGGTTTTCTCGTTATTCAGTTTAGTTCTAATGGGTCTTTTTAATGTGGCTTTTTTGCGTCCAGTGAGGCGCAAGCAGATGCGTGCCGAAAAAAAGGAATACATTTATTATCTTCGTTTTCAAAAGTAGCTCCTATCCGAATCCAATGGTCTAGCTTGCTTCATGTGATGACACAAGTGAGCAATACTGTTTCTTGGTGTGGGCAGCCTGGAAGTGCCAGTCCCAGCAAATCTCCGGTTAACATCACCTTTCTAAACTTATTTTCTATATGCCCGACGGGTGTCTATGACTTCAGCTTGTGAAAAGCTATCCTTGAACACTTGAAACTTCATAGCAAAGTTCATGTTAAAGCCTGAAACCTTTGGACTAAATTTTACACTGGACAACAAGCCTGATTCATCAAAACTCCTAAATCTAGTCGCAATGGAGTTGGTATCAATTTCATATAAGCTTCAGAAATAATAAAAATATTCTGACTAATAAATAATATTTTAAAAAAAGCTGTTGGAAATACTACATTACTTGGCATCGATAATTCGATCGGCAAGAGCACAGGCAGAAAACCCACCAAATATAACAGTATGTACAGCACCAATACGAGCACATGCTAACATAGTCATCAAGAGCTCTGGAATCATAGGCATATAAATGGCAACACAATCTCCCTTTCTAATACCGAAATTCGCGAGCATTTTACCAATTCTTTTGACCTATATAATATATTTTAAATAATCAAAAGCAATTGGTCAAATAATTTAAGCCCACAGACTACTGAAAACATGCGAGAAACTAATTAATTTACAAAAATGTGAACGAGATTAACAACAATATCGTCACCAGAATTAATTTATTAACAAGGATTTGTAATTTCTTACTATTGGTATTCAGGACTACAACTAATCAGTTGGTGTTTAAAGAGAAAGGTACTCCGTTCCGGTCTCAGTATAAACATCAAGACAGGGATGTAGAAAAATCCCGATGATGAGTCCCAAAAAGAACGAAAAGCGCTTTCTGGATTCCACTGCTACCCGCATACTAAATACGTCAGAACTGATTTATGTTTATGGATTTAGTTATAAATCATAAGGTCAATAGATCAAAGCACATAAGTATAAAAGACTAGGTATTGTTTTACAACCGGCATAACACACAACTTACAACAGCATGGAGGAATTATATTCACTGAGCACCTAACTTACTACTCATATATTCAAAGATATAGAAACAAGATGAGACATGATATTACTATTAGTAAATCGGTACAGTTGTCTCTTACAATGTATTCAGTATTGATAATGAATTGAAACACTCGAACTTTATAATGTTTCAAGCAGACATGGAAAAGGAATAATGGATTGCTATTCAAATTTGCAAATTCGTTTATATCAACTGGGTTTTAGCTTTTTTCTTCTTCGAAAAATTATTATTATTTATTTTAACACATAAGTATAGGTACAGGGAGGCACCAATTACATATGCGCCACACAAATCTCAATTGATTTGTGTGAGGGCTGTGATACTGCTCGGGTGCCCAAACCGAAGCAGGTGGTTTTCTTAGGGGACCACACCCCGAGCCTTTGACCTGAACGTCTGACCCACAAGGCAGTGGAGCATCGTGAGGAGATGCAGTCCCATGGTAGCCGGTGACCAACGATTGGTTCATACGCCATTTGTTCCTTCAGGACTTCGAAAAAGCACCTTGTACTTTGAAATAACGTAGTGTTTCGTTGTGACTCGACAAACCAAACTTATTGAAGTGGTAGATATAATAGCGAAGTAAGCATAATAGTCATATCAGGTCAACTGTAGAAACGAGAGCTATGAGTTAGGTTAAAAAGTCCGAGATTCTAATAACTCGATGAAACAATAAAACTCTCAGTTTAGAAGTATAAAAGTTAGCTTCACTGAAAAGTAAAACAGTCCAGATAATACGTTGTACAAAAAAAGAAAATCTACGGTAAAAACCGGTGCAAAACACCTTAGTAGGTCAGGAGTTTGATTTGCACGTTTGTAGTAGTAACGCCAAAAAAGCCCAGAGTTCCGGTTTGGTTAATCGGACAAAGGTGCTTTAACACATTTTTGGATTAAAAAGATCCTAATATCTGAAGACTGAGAGCTGGCAGAATGACCAAGCCTCCTAATAAAACTTTAGGGTCAACCATCAAAGCCCCCAAATGCCCTGGTACGGCCGAGAGTGGGGAGAGTTAGCGCTCCCTCTCGAAATACTCTCACATGACCACGTGCATACAACCACTGCCAGGGAAGTCTTACTCACTGCCTTCTCGCGTCGGGGCTGTTGATTACAAAACTGAGAGGACAAAAAGCTAATATCCGGCGCTTTAAAGCGGTTGGTGGATATGGAGGATCCACCTAGTGAAGTTGGAAAACCCTGATTCCAAACCAATGATACACATGGGCTTCAAGATCATAAAGAAACAAGTGGCGTATGAACCTATTGTTGGTTACAGTCTATCATAGAACTGAATCTCCTAAAGGTGTTCCACTGCCTTGTGGAGACTTCGACCTAAGGTTCAAAGGCTCCGGGTGTGGCCAACTAGGAAAACCACCTGGTTCGGTTTGGGCACCCGAGCAGTATCACAACCCACACAAAAACCAGGTGATTTGTGTGGCGCATATGTATTCGATGCCCTTTTGTACCAATATTTATGCGTTCAAGCAAATAAATAACTACCATCAAAAGTTCATGGAAAACCACGACGTTGACATTTTAACCATGAGTTGTTTGTACAATCAGTGAGTAAAATCTGTGAGTGATGCTTAAATACATACACATCTCGACTTCCTTTTGATACAAATCCTGAATCGGGATAAAATGACGAATAGTCTGTAACCAATTAAATTTGCAAAACAATTTTTTAAAATGAAAACACAAGCTCTAAGTACCTTGGCCAACATTTCAGAGTACGTCAAACGATTCGTATCATTTGGATCGTTGCCTTCCCACAAAATTGCCACTTTATCGCCAAAACCACGGTCGACATTGCGATCCAAAATGTTGTAGCAAATATTTGTGCATCCATCTTCAAACCACTTAACAAAAATAGGTCCTTTACGGCAATCGAAATTGTAGCTGAGACACTTTCCGAATGAAGGAGATGATTGCCAGTGAAACTTCATTGCATATCCCAACCAAAATTCTTTAGGATTGCATAATGCTTTGTCAGATAACAATCTGTGTTCTTCTGCTGACTTAACATGGGCAGATTCTCTGATTAAATCACTAGGTGAAAAAACACTCATGACTTTTGTGCGATTTTTTTCCCAGAAGTTTTATGACTAGAGCATAAAATGATTGGATCCAAAAGACTGGATAAGTAACCTAGAATAAAGTAAAAGTAAGTTTATGACTCAGTGAACATACATTAGAGCTCCTGTTTAACGTAACAATGCAAAGTTAGGAAGGTTACACAATAACATATTATTGTACATGGGTTTGAATTGTGTAAAGAGCTTGAAAAACACAGTATTGAGATATAAGGAGTCAGCGTGACTTGTGTCTTTGCTGTTTGGTAGACAAATCAATTGTTGATGCATACATAAAATTAATCTCACCTCAATTAAAGATGCAAGTCGTGGTTACAGGGTAGGATTCGCAAAACTGTTTTTCAAGAAATGATCCTTAAGATTCAGTTCTTAGTAATACCAAAGGAAATATAGTTTTCAGTAGAGTGCTGTACGAGTTATGCGAATACAGATGCAGAAACAACTTACATTCGTTCCTATTTAAATGTGTGATACTTGACGATAAACCAAATTCAAACAAAGATTGTTACAAAGATGGTAAAGACGAACAATAGACAGCGTCTACAGGTCATTAGTAATCTGGGAATCCTATGTGTATTGTCTAATTAGCTAATATTAGTACCGTTTATCACTGCTTATGTAATGACAGTCCGTTAACTTGAAGTCTTATTATATACTGATATTTTAGAAGATACGAAATCGTCGAGTAAAGTAAGTTACCTATTGACGATATATAAAGAGAAAATCCTAGAAATAATATTTCAAGTGAACTAATGACCAGTGCTCTGTGAAGATTAACGTTCTGATCCCCTTCAAACATTTAAGTCAATTCGTTTCAACCCCATATGTGCTACAACAATGAAAATATAAAAAAATTTATCTGCCCTTGTGTGAAGTTTGACCAGCTTTAGGTGATTAGACTAATAGTTCAGGCCCAAACGAAAAGTGGGCTATAGTAAAGCACATAATTCACGTACTTTAGTCCTGACTTCAAAGTATGGTTAGTTTATTGCTGTTCACAAATACTGCATAACGTCTCTTATTATCTAAGCCTGACAGAAAACCACTATTAGGCAGATATGATTTGGAAAATGGTGTATCCAGAAGACTTGGAATAAACAGAACACGCAACTCATTTGAGCACAACTTTTCATAAATATCATGACCTTGTAAGGTTCCCAGGATACTATGCCTCCTGATAGCGTTCCGTTTCATAATAAGGATTCAATTCTAGAATAAACTTAAAGGATCTTATTAAAAAAAAGTCGATCGACGAATGGCTCCATCGAGTGCATTGTGATACAGTCACATGATTGACTGTAAAACAAACATATATCTTGCCAAGCAAAAACTTTAAAGAAAAAGCATGACACCAACTTTACATTCACACACTAGTATCACCTGTCTACAATCCCAACGACATAAGCTAAGGTCGTGTGCTTAAGTCCAACGAGTAACGCAGATTTTGAAAGTCTCCTAGCCATTACCACCGTTCAATAGACAATCTACTTACTGAACTAACAGTAGAATATTAATCACAAAAATTACTCGATATCAAGTCAGTTTCTATCGAGAGAGAGTAACTTACACAATGACTCAGTTACCATGTAGAACATCATGTATTAAGAATTAGGGAAAACTAGTATCGATCAGTGATAGGCTGAGACCAAACAAATTCTTTATTCGAAGCTATTACTTCCAATATGGGAGTTTGAGTTAGATATATCTGTTGTGGATTTCGTTTAGTAATTTTGAGAATCATAATCACCCTCCACAAAATGGCTAAAGGATGTGTTAAGATGTTGAGTTTTTATTTACGTTACTTTTTCAGTGCCACGCGCATTGGCTGAAGAAAAAACTATTCAAACCTGATTTTGTACAGAGTTCAGTTTGTCCCTGAACCGTATGTTTACTTGCGAATGCAAACTGTTCTTGTCCACTGACAGCATAGCTTTCATGACACCATACCAAGGCATATTTCCGAGCTCTGAGTAATTCTGAATCTTGGGTCAGTTTTGCAGGCTGAATTTTTCCCTTCGTTATAACACTGACAGCACGCAAATATCCGGTGACCAGCTTGCCTGAAAAATACTCCGATATTAAATATGTAAAAAACCTCTGATATAGAGCTATGGTCTTACTGAATTCACAGAGCGTTAAGTGCAATAAAATACCAAATCGACATTTAGTAGTGTCAGCTGAATCTAATATCTTTGCAAGCAAGATTTTGCACTCTTTATTCTGGGCCCATATTTGAGTGTAACGGCCAAAATATCATAACTTGACGGCTTTAGTATATGCTTTTATGCTTTACTGAGAGATAGTAAAGACGAATTATCGAAAATGAAGTTTAAGAAAAGCAAAATTGAGAGTAATAACTCTAAATTCTTTGAAAATTCAAGGGAAGTACTACTATTCAAGTTCAAGAAAATGATTCTATCATCCAATTGCCTGGTGCAACAGTTTCGCTGCAATTAGTTTGTAAATCACTTTTTGTAGAAGTAACTTTCAATGAAACCAAGAGTCTACTGAAAAACTGTTCCTGATTTTCACTATTTTTTCTCAAAATTTTCACATGCGATGCGCAAGCCAAGGTAAACTTTAAGGTAAACAAGCTTAGAATTCTATTTAAATTGCTACCTGCTTGGAAGGGGACCAATCTCTTAGTGTACAGATTCTCTTAAACAAAAGCTAATGCAACTCATTATTCTTAAGTGTAAAATTGACTGCTTAGGTACTTGTCTCGTCTCGCCTTATCATTTAACTCTGTTGATTTCCTGCTTACTTAAGTACCCCCAAGACCTGTTAAGCGTTGATGCATCTTGGATAATAATGAATATTAACACTACGATTGCTGAAATTCAGCTGACGGTGATGAGATGATTCGAAAACTAGCTTATATGCATTTACCAAAATTTCTTAAGGAGCCTTCCGAATGTGAATAAAATTGATCCAGAGCAACTGTTTCCTGTATACAACTTTAAAGTGACAGTGATAAAAATATGGTCTGAAGATATTCTAAAGCTATAGAAGTTGTAAGGACCATCAATTTCCAAGACTGACACTTAGATTCTTTGAGACCTTTAGTGAAACTTACATACTGTACCCACTGTAAGATCCAAACTAAGGTTTGGACTGAAGAATAGATGTCTTGGTGGGTTAGATACGCTGTCTTGCCCGTTTGAAACCAAAACAAAGTTATCGGGTAAAATGACGGTTCTATAATTCATGATAAATTTTAATTTACATCGTTAGATAAACAAATATAACCACCCAGATATCCAACCAATTGTAGTTCAAATAATCAAATCTAAATTACAATAAATAAGAAAGTTAAAAGAGGATGTTATAAAATCACCAACCGCAACAAATAAATGTTATTCTATCCTGTCTGGATAGATCACACACAGATTCGTTCAAAAGACAATGTTTGGTTGCTTTATAGCACCAAGTGTTTTAAATTCTGGAAGAATGCTTCAATTCACAATCAAAAATGCGCAATTCCAGTCAATACCTGCAACACAATCAGGCGGAGGAACAAAACAATATGGCTGCCGCTAACAATAAGTATCAAGTAAAACAACATAAATGCAGTTCAGGAAGAAACACGGAAACTTAGTTAAGGCGTAAGAAAAATAAAATACAAAAGATATCAACTCAAAATGGAATGAAAAAGACTGACAAAAATTTACAACTAAAGGTATCAATAAGAATAAACTGCGAGCGTATACATGGAGGGATATTCACACACAAAACATTCAAAATGGATCTTACACCCACATCCAGTATTAGGTGAACTTCACAGTAGACCACTTGAGGTTTTAATTTCAACTTATGCTGTGGACGACATTGCCTTAAAGAGCAAACCCTTAGGTGTCCGAACATTAAGTATAGTTCCATAAGTTGTCAATTAATACTGGTAGTTACTGGTCGCATTATGCATTAAAAGAGACAGAGTAGTGGTTGTAGTAGGCTTTTATTCAGATAGGTATCATTAACAAGGTTTGATTTGATAATTTCGAATAAATTGAGCATTGGGTTGATTGTTATAAATAAATAATATATTTGTAATATCCTATTGAGTAGAAAATTGGATTTTCTGACGTTTCGTGACTTAGTGTAAGTCCCTTCTTCAGAGAATAAATAACCAAATTAAAATTAATCCAAGTTTAAATACTACAACGGTACAATGTAAGAATAATATTTGATCAATCAAAAATAGGTCTGGACAATTTGATGTCATGTCATTTTTGTCAAGGTGATTCATAGGTGATATGTATGTAAATTTGTGTGTGTATGTATTTGTGCATTGTCATCAAGAAGAATGAAATCATGGTAAGCTTTGATGTCGTTTCTTTATACAGAAGTCTTCCCGTTGATAAATGCTTAGAACTCAATAGTGGTTTACTTCAGAACGACAATGCTCTTCCTAACAGATGTCCGTTGAGCATCAGTCTAATCATGAAATCCTTAAAACTTCGCTTAAATTCAACGCTATTTACTTTTAACGGTATGTTATTCAAACAAACTAACGGTGTGGCAATGGGATCCCCCATGTCCCCGATTGTAGCCAACCTTCTTATGGCATACATAAAATCAAATATCTTCGCCCACAACATTATACCACTAATTTGGCTTAGGTATGTGGACGATACATTTGTTGTTATAAAAAAGACGTATCTAAGATCTTTTTCAAAACGAATAAATACACTTTCATCGCACATCAAATTCACCAATCAAAATATACATGGTGAGCTACCATTCTTGGATTGCTTAGTAGTAAGAAATCCAAATGGAAGTCTAAACCTATCCATTTACCGAAAACCGACGCACTCAAATCGTTACATTGACTTCCATTCAGCACATCCTTTCAGTGCTAAGATCTCGCTAGCCTTAAATCTTTTTGGAAGAGCTAACAAGATCATCACATCAGAGGAAGACAAACAGAAAGAACAAATGAATGTAATTTGCACCTTACAATTTAATAATTTTTCTATGAAGATTATTAGAAGCATATTAAAACAAAACAGTTTATTACGTTATAATAATGATTCCAATGAAATGCCGTGGATTGGTACTGCAGTTCTACCATACCGTCATGGCACAACAGAAGAAATCCAAAGAATCCTAAAACACCACAGAATTAAAGTATACTACAAAAAATGAACACACTACGTAATACTTTAGTTCGCTTAAAAGAAAAAATCTCTTTCATGTCCACACAGAACTGCGTCTACAAATTAGGTTGTATCGATTGTGGTGCATATTATATTGGATGGTCATCCCGCGAAATCTTGACTAGGGCCAAAGAACATATTAGGTACATAAAGAAACCTCCTAACATTCCTGTAGAATCGAACCAACTTCAAATTAAACCGGCAATAGCAGTTCGTGCCATTTTCAGCAACCACCAAATCGATTTTAGAAGTATCAAAATATTTCAATAATGCTTTTCCAACTATAAAGAAAGGAGGTTAGCTGAGGCGTTCCATATAATGCTTAATCCTACTTCTCTGAACAGAAAGGAAGGCCTTACCATACATCCTACTTGGACCATCTATCCTAGCCATTCAGTCTGATCGTATTTACAATTTCACACTATCACATTACAAATTTGAACTCTATCCTTTCTTACCATAAAGGTCACACAATTTTTCATTCTTAAACAATGCACACATACATACACATGCAAATTTACATACATATCACCTATGAATCACCTTGACAAAAATGACATGACATCAAATTGTCCAGACCTATTTTTGATTGATCAAATATTATTCTTACATTGTACCGTTGTAGTATTTAAACTTGGATTAATTTTAATTTGGTTATTTATTCTCTGAAGAAGGGACTTACACTAAGTCACGAAACGTCAGAAAATCTAATTTTCTACTCATTGGGATATTACAAACATATTATTTATTTTTATTCAGATAGTGAAACAAAATAGTTGAAGCCTGAGGTTGTCATTTATAACACAAAAAGCTTTGAACGCTCAATAAAGGATAGTGAGAAATATAATTCTTACGCAAAATCAGGAAATGGACAAATACTTGAACCGTAAGGTTTTGACGTTACCAAATTGTTTTAGGCTGACACTTAACCACTAAACCTGTCTCTGCAGCTGAAGCTAAAAGTTCATTTACGATGTTAGAAGTCGCTTTGCCGTTGATATGTATTAGAAGTAATAATGAGTCATCCTCTTTTTGTTAGCATGAGCCGCAAGATATGCATGTAATCAACGTTTTACTTTATCTCTTTGATGTTTCTGTCTTTAGCATGATTTCATATGTAACATCATCACCTATTCATTTAAGAACCTTATGATACCTAGAAACACTTTTCTTTAGGGCTGTAGGGGTTTGACTTGATGTAATTACCTGATCATAAGTTTATTTAAGCCTACTTTGACAGAGTATTGCAAATTTTGTCACTACAATTTCATTTAAAATTAGATCCATGCCGATTCGGATTATTTTGGTGACACATTTACCACCATATTTGAAATGTGAACACCCTTTTTTAAATACTAATGAGGGATACAACAGTGGATGTTTAGAAATGGCTATTTGATGCAATGTTTGATAAACGGAACCGAAATCTGAAAGCACTAGATGCAGTCTTAATACTAATAAAATAATTGTTCGACAACAAGCTGACAGCAATCGCTGGCACTGTCCAAAATTTAATTTTTGGTAGCATATGGTATACAAAAACAAGTAGCAAGATCAGACACTTACCAAAATGTGGATATGCTTTTTCCATCTTTTCCAACAGCATGAAAACATGTGTATGATCTGTAATCCCGAACACTATGTTAAGTCGAAATTTCCAACTCGACTTATACATGTGACACCCAGAACCTGTGAAATTTCGGATTGATATACTATTTGATGTTGGCTTGAAAACCACGCATCGCCGAGACAAATACAAACAACCACACAGCACTTTGGTAAGCAGGTGACACTAATAGAAACAAAAAGTACGTATAAATAGCAAAACACCTACAATATTTGCGTAAATTTAAACCAAGTCTATATAGTCAGCCGTCACACAAAAGCTAGGAGAGAAAATGGTGAGCGATTCGCGCAGAATATGAGTGCTCAATTTTCCGGTAGAAATCCGTGAAGATGTCTCAGCCATTTGGAGTTTAACCGCGCTTTTGGTCAAATTATGCCATCCCGGTCAAATCAGAAGTCAGAAATGAAAGGGTGAGAAGATGTATTTGGAAGGCTATCGACATTTCGATGAGCGCTTGGTCTAGGCTGCCTAAAAGTTGCGAGGGATATGTAACAGGGCGTACTATTCATGATCTGTTGCGTAGGCGTGACCTAGCACATTCATCTAGGTATGTCCAGCAAATTAATGTGGTCAGCAACAATATCGAAGAATTACAGAACTATTTACTCTGGGGATTTACTTACAGCTACAGCTCACTTCCTCCTAGTAGATAGTGGTGACCCTAAGACGTGGTTAGTTAGAAGTTTAAGCCTAATAAGCTAGCTGATGGTAAACACTTCTGATAGCTTACTATGTTCAGTAGCATACGGTCGTCTTGCCTGACATAAGGGGCTATAAACTAGAATATAGCGATGAAAAAAATGTACGATGAAAATTGTTATTCACCGTATTTTTCGACGGTTTTTCAACATTTCCAGCCGTCCTAGATGAGAAATTGTAGGTGCATGTTGAAATACATTCGTACGTGAGCAAGGCTAAAAACTGGGTGAAAAAGGAAAATAAACTTGTATACATGTGTCGAGGATTAACAATTTCCACACAAAGAGGCTTCTACAATCTTCTTGATACAATAATACAAACAATTGAGATTAAGTAAAATGTTATGTGTTATCCTACGTACAATAATCTTTTAAGTGTACAGAAAAATTGCTCTTTCTTTAAAGTGTAGTGTTTTGTCCCGGTCACCGCCGAAATTTCTTCGTGATTGCTGATTATCAGGAAAGGTATCATAGTTATGTGGCTTTTGTCATCAGTGTACGGGTTTGATGGCCGTTTGAACCCCTGGATAAAAGGATTTATGCGACGTATTGAAAACGTTGCCTCCACATTGTTTTGGCACTCTTTGATGATCCCTTCCCTTAGATATGCCAAGTACTGTAGATTATTTACCTGTTCCCACTTGTTCAACACATAGTTTTAGGGTTGGTGAAGATAGGTTTTGCTGAAGATCACTGCCTTGTTTTTTGAGGGTGGGCGAGTTCAAGAAGATCAGTTCCTCGGAAACTGTTCAAGGAAGTTATACGAAGCAAGGTCTCCGCCACTACATTGTTAGCCCCAGAAATATGTTGTATATTCGAAGAAAGCAAAGAAAGGTACTTTAGTTGTTGAGACTCTCGACGTAAGTTTCTGTCCGAAGACGAGCCTCGAGAGAATTGAAGAGGTTTGCCGTCAGTGAACAGATTAAACTCTTGGCCCTACACAAAGTGTTGAAAGCGACATGCAGAACGATGGCTCGGAGTTCCCTGCTGATATTGATATAGCTCAATTCCTTGTCTTGCAACCGTCTCGAGAAATATGCCTAAAGTTGTCAACTGCTGTTCATCTATTTCAATAAGACTTCCTCGACTGCCGAGTTGGATGCGTCTACTGAGAAACTAATAGATGTTTTGATGTTCTGATGCGCGAGTGTGGTTGCCTTTGCGGCATTTTCCTTCTCTTGGAGAATGCTCTATTTGCGGCATCGTTCAAATTGATGATTTTTACACTTACATGAAGTTAGTTTATAATGAGCTCATAAGAGACTCGCGATTCGGTGCGAACCGTCGATAATGCTGACTAGGCCGTTGAACGAACACAATTGCTTGACTGTGGTTGTTTCTCAGTAATTCAGAATGACGGACACTTTGATTATTAGAGGGCGGATGCCTAACGTGTTAATATTGTGTCCGAGAAACCCAGAGTTCACTCTAATCTGACATCTCTGAATGCTTACAGTGATGCCGTGTGTTTGCACTCATTCGAAAACGTGATCCGGATGTTATTGATGAGATTCTCTCTCCGGACTTTTAATCGAGCGATCATCTACATATGCGTGTACGAAATTGAGACCTTTTAAAACGTCATAGATGAGTCTTTCGAAAGTTTGCGCAGCCATTTTCAGGTCAAAATTTGTGCGCAACAATCCATGGAATCAGAAGGAATTAATAATGATAGCGGTTTTAGAAATATCGTCTGAAGCCAAGGGAATTTGGTTGTATGCTCTATCCAGATCGACTTTCGAAAAAACAGCCGTACCTTTTAAGGTTGCATTGCATCTCTGAATAAGGGCTAAAACGAATATTATTCTGGCTGAAGGATATTACAGACCACACCAAAACGTAGTAGAAACAGAAATCCAATGATGTACTAAAACTCTGTGAATAACTTACTGAACTGTCAGCAGAAATAATAGAGGTAAAAGGTACAGAAAATTGATTTTAAAACAAAATTATGGTGAATCAATTCGAATAGAATGTTATAAACATTGGTTTTTAGTTCAGTGAGCACACTGCAAGTCAAATATTTCACAGTAGTCACCTTAAGGAACTTTCGTTTTTTTTACACAAAAACCGAATTTTGAGTGTTTGAAGAACGCCAAGAAGCTTCAAATTTTTGAAAGAGATTTCAGTAAAGTATTTTAAGTAAACAGTACGTACTCGTGTTTTAAATCACTTCTTTGTTGCATTAATTTGGCCTTAGGGTAAGCGCACTGTTTGACCGATTTTTGATATCGTGTTTTATTTACAAATGGCTTTGCATCATATGTGTCTAATAAACGATCATTAAATTGTTTTACTGTCAAAATAACAATAATTTAACGATAAATAGATCATTTTTTCCATGTTCGGAGATATTTCATCAACTTTCCTTTTGGATTTTATTATTTAAAAACAGTTTAATGGACTGATGCTAATTTGTATGTAGATTTATGTTGAAAATTAAATTTTTGTGTCATAAAAAGTGTTGCGTTTTGCTATAAGCTTTTAGACGACACTTTTCTATGATTATCTTTTAGGAGGCCGTAAACCCAACTTCTCTATTTTCGGGGAAATTTCTAGCCGTTTTTGGGAAATTTTGGGGAAGACGCTATAAAAACGTTCAAACAAATGGCACAGAAACTTTAAGATTTTTAGCAGATTTAGGAAAATTCCCTAATGTTTCGCCAAAACGTCGGGTGTTCCCTCAAACTTTAGGGAAGTCCTCAAAATAGGGAGACTGAAAATTCCATAGTATTTATTAAGTAATCGGTATCCGTTGATTTGTATATGATAGACCAACGTTTAATCAGGTGTTAGGTGCATTTTTTATAATGAGTTCGCTTAAGTTTTCATAGTTTTTTTCGTGAGTTTAGCTACCAAGTCGTCTGTCACTATCTGTATTTTGTCTTTGTTTTCATCCTAGTTTGTACAACAAAATGATACCTTTTAACATCATAGGGGTACGTTTCCCAAAAACTGGACAATTTAATTGATAAGGCCAGTGAGCAGATCGATTAAAGTGCAAACACGTGATTTCGTCTTTACTGTACTTTTCGATATTGACAACTATAACTATTTGTGGTAACAGCATTGAAAAACAAATATTTCTAACTAATTCCGACTTCACGCATAGGTTAGCGCTGTTCGATTAGTTGGACAACCCCGTATCTTTAAATCTAAACGCTATATTTTCACTTATATTCTGTGATGAATAATCTGAGTCATACCGTGATGTTAAAATTATATCTAGAACATTGAAGCGTGTCCTAAATGATTCTTAAATACTCTGAATGTTTCTCATCCCTACAAGGCCTTAACAAAATAATTACATACGGCGCTATAAACAGGCCATTATAATTTACCCTAGTGGTTCGTATAAGGTTTTAGCTATTACACCGATTTTCGTAAGGCTTTACGGCAAATCGTTTCTCAAGCAGCAGTTAGGGGTGGTTTCTTTAGCATCTTTGTGTTTTTATTTCACTAATTTCTACTTTATTGAGCCGTATCATTGATGGCTAGTCTTCTCAATCACCATTTATACTATTACCAACTCTACGATTCTGGTTTTCGGCCTGACATTTTCATCTCTATGTCAATTAGTCAGTAAGCTACAACGTAGGACCAGGCACATTAGCACAAGGTTAACTCCAAATTCATAAAAGTAGCTAATTCATTGGTAGTAATATACAAAGGAAAGATTGTATATAAAGATATGATACAGGGAGAATTATTTTATAGAAAGGGAGTTGTAAAGTAATCTTAATCTCACGGTGTAAATGAAGACAAAGAGTGCATACATCTTCACCATTGTGATTGGTTTTGAACAATGTCGCTCAGAGTCTCCAACCATCTCTGTGCTAATGGGGTATATCAGCTTGAACCGATAAACATAATTTTCAGTTTCTACGTTGTGTCTGGCTGACCAGATAACTCTCTACGTTTTACCCCAGTCCTGACGTTCTCTTTTTGACCTGAAGTGCAATTAAAAATTTAAATTTCATTCAATCCTATGAATACAGATAAAAGTGTCTCAGATATATTTCTTATTTCGTAAATGTAAGTTGGTATAACAAGACCAGTATATATACAGCCATCATTTAATGATATGAAAAATGTTTATTTTAAACTAAAAATTGGCATTTCTGGGTTCTTGGATGATTATACTACCACTGCATTGAAGAACATGAATTAACGTTTTCGAGAATTTGTATAGTTTGAATTCTGTACATGTATCCCAATTAGCTGCTACAGGATAAGCTAACGATTTACGTCTGCCTTTCAGAAAAGAGAAAAGTGGGAAGTTTCTGAATCACACAAATGAATTTAAATAGAGGATATACACTTAGTGTTTAAGAGCTGTAACAGATGATCCGTCAAGATTTTTCGTGGTAAGTCGAACATTATATAATTTTGATATCTTACGTACAATTAACTCAAAATAAAGTAGCAAACACTTAACCAAAACATAATCTTTCCAAATTCGTCAAAAAGTGTATTGATGAACGTGCTTTTAGCTAATATATTGAATATAACTGTGTTGTATTCAACAGTTTGCATCACAAAATTTTTATTAATTATAAACATCCTACTGTAACTTTGCTTTTCTGAGGGAGTTTCCTTACATGCTAGCCGGGTGTTAAATAATTTTTGTTGGTGTATGGTATGATTTAAATGCGTAGTATTCTAAATATCGTAAGTGAAAGCATTTGTAACCTAGTTCTGTTTTATCCTTGGCTTACGAAAAGTGGTAAGCTTGTTATATGGTATAACTAACTAAATATTAAGATCATCACTGGCGAAAAGGGCCTTATTGAGATTTCAAGTCCCACCTCATCCGTCGGTATGTTAATTGGCTTGTCTTCAACATTTCTCTCCAATGCAGTACTTATCTCTACTGTTACACAACTATGACATTACTGTCGGAGCTAAGAAGATCTAAAACTCTGAGTAATATGTTCAGGTGGTTTACCTACAATGAGAATCTATGGTGAAAGCTGTAAGTCGCCTGTTAAATTTGCTTAGACACACCATCATGCACGACCGCAACATGAAATGCGATGTTAGCCGAGGATATGTATCACACATGGGATCAAAAGCCTTTATAGCCTTATTATAAGTAAATCAGTTTGATAGCTTTCTCTGAACTGAAGAAGTTTTCTCTCAGATGAGATTTCATTATGCTCAATCCTGTGTTAATGGTGCTTTGTAGTATACTTTCATTGGGTTCCTCACCTCTGTATTTCAGTGTCGTTTGAGTTTCTATATATCCGTCCTTTTGTTTGGTCATTGACTTGAGATTAGTTAATAGTATTTATAAAGTTAATCCATGATTAACTAGCAGTTTCTAGTTAAGTTTGTTTTGCGACATTGAATTACTATTGTTTAATCCTAATTGATAGACATGGTTGATATTTCGGTTGTCTATGATATTCATAAATGTCTTTTTCTTTTTGACAAAAATCACTGTGACACTTAGGGGAGGAAAAGTACTTGATGGGGTCCGAGTTTGCTTTTCGTTCTTACCTCTTAGAGTTAATAGACTCAATGAAACAAGTGAATTTCAGTCTTCCCTGGGCTCTAAACTATAAAGGGGATTATTTTTCTTACTACGCGTCCTAGGGATTTACTCAACGATGGAGTGCAAAACACTTTTAACCACATTGAGATCCATTCACCTGATTTACTTTTCTGGGTATATATCAGTTTTAGCGAGTATGTGTAATCTTGAACTTCATTCATTCATTTGGAAAAGTTGTTTTTAACGAGTTGCTCCAGCTCAATAATTTAGAAACTAGATTTCCAACTACTTCTTTACGACTCATGATTGGATATATTACGAACAGTAGAAAAACATCATTTTTGTTGCTGTTCAGATTCCTTTTGTCCATCTAATGAACTGGCGAGTAAAAACATGACATGCATGGATTCATACACTACTTCAAAGTCAAGCGGGTAGATGAGAAATTGCGAAAGAGGCACGCTATTGAAAGAAGTCAATTATGCACCCAACCAAGGTCAACCTCCATATCCTTGTCTGAGTTGGAAGGACAATCATATGTATAACTACAATTTATGTAGGTTATGATTCACTTTGGCAAATAAACTTTCCTACTCATCTATTTTTTCGTTTGCATAGTGAGTTTGATATACTGTAGAATGAATGTATCTTATTGAGCCGCAAAACACAACACATTTTTTATTGTATCCCATAACTGTTTCGAATTAGATTTCAGCTCAAATATATTCATACTCTTCATATAGGTTATAGAATTAGATTTTGTCATGTGTTAATGTTTGTCAGAATCATATATTGCTTGTATAAAAACAACTATGTTTTTATTTTACTTCCGTTTAGAGCATTTAATCAAAATGAAACTGGATATAATACTGATTACAGTTTTTCTGAAACTCTTACCAATCTATTGCACTCCTACGGAGCCTGTAATATATGGCATTCTCCCAGATATCTATAACTCAATCACTGATAATATCATTGTACTTCCTTCAAATAAACCTGTTCACCTTAGTATGTTTGGCTTGAAAATGGATTATATTAGTCATATTGCCTTTGCTTCAATTAAAAAACCACGTAATTCTTCATGTGAACACGAACGTGTAACTAGTTCATTCGATGCTTTGCCAGAAAATTCTTTTGTCAGTACCAGTGTAATTAGTCTACGCGAGTTGTCCACTAATGAAGTCGCTTTTTTTCTATGCATTCGTGTCACCCCTACTTCATTACCGAAAACTGACTCTATTCCAAATCATACCAATATTGATGGTAAATGGATTTTTGCTGGCGACGGTGGTGGTACTGACAGTGTATCGGATTATCGTTTATCATTTCGAACTACAACTACTCTCATGCCTTTATGGGTTCAAATAATTTTAATTATATTATTATTTTTTCTTTCGGGCTTATTCAGTGGTTTAAACTTAGGTTTAATGTCTCTGGATAAAACTGAATTGAAAATTATTGAAAGCGCTGGTTCACATAATGAGAAAAGTTATGCAAAAGCTATTCGCCCTGTACGAGAAAAAGGAAATTTATTATTATGTACACTTTTATTAGGTAATGTTCTTGTTAATACTTCATTAACAATTCTAATGGATGATTTAACTGGTAATGGTTTATTTGCTGTAATTGGATCTACAATTGGTATTACATTGCTTGGTGAAATTATGCCGCAAGCTGTATGCTCACGTAATGGATTAGCTATCGGTGCTAAAACACTTTGGTTAACAAAATTGTTCATGTTACTGACATTTCCTATTGCATTCCCTATAAGTTTTTTATTGGATAAAATATTGGGTGAAGAAATCGGTCAAGTATATAGTAGAGAAAAACTTGGAGTTCTTATACGTGAACAAGTGAGTTGTTTAATATTGTGATACTTTTTAAATGAATATATATAACAAATACGTGGACCAGATTCATAAAACCTTTATTTTACAAGACCTAGGGCATATCAATCTTTATCAACATACTCGTCAGTAAAATTGTCACATCTCTGTTCGTATTGTTCAAAACGTTATTGCTAATCCTCTTCGAAGTTAAAGTCATCAACTATCTCATGGTCTCCACATTTTCTAAATGTCGTATCTGAGTGAGTAGTTCACATTTCAGAAACGAAAGGAAATCCGAAAGAACTAAGTATGATGAGTAGAAGGGGTGATCTAACGTAATGATGGTAGAACTATGAGCCTGAAGGTATGGAGTAATCACTACTAGATATACAGGTGCATTCTCTTGATGGAACAACCATCCATCAACATTAGACAAATTTAATAACATATGATCTAACATGTTATCTCTATAACTAGCCCTCAACACTTCATGGAACGTTAGGTGGTTGGAAGCAATCGTCAGTAAACCCTAGACCTTAGTCACATACTGGTTCTCTCTCACCGGTAAAAGTTGTCTTCAGTCTTCAGGGAACTAATGATTTCTAGTGAATTCGAAGCTCTATCACTTAGCTTCATAGTCTGAGATGTTCCAACAGCCATTTGGGCTTAAATTAACCTTTCGGACCTAAGTGTTTGTGGGCGATTAATCATTGAGTAATGCCATGTTTACCTAGTATTTTGTAGCTGACCAAATTCTATCGACTATCATTCAGAGTTTCTTACCAACTACGTCCAACTACTCAATATCTTGGCATAGTACGTATGATGCTGAATCATTCTGACTAGATGCCACATAGCGATTTGATCACAGGAGTCCGATCAGCACTAAAGGACTTGACAAACATGAAACCGAACACTACTCAATTACCAATCAACTGCAAATTTATTGAATGTAATAAGAGCTTTTCCAGAGTTTCACTTAGACCATTTGTAGAAGGAACCATATACATGTACGTAAGTTTTTCGAAGTTCATATGGGAAACTAACTTCCAAGTTCACTATTTCAGAAGCAAAATAGTAACTCGTTGATAAGTTTATCTGGGGATTGCACATTATCGCGATTTGACTTAAGTTGAAGATATAAATCATTGAACTACTAAATTAATAGTTTAGATAAATTATAGTCTTACAAATATAGAAAGCTTATATATCATGAATAAACAGAAAAAACTAAGTCACTCAATTGTTCGACAAATACTATGGGCTCAGAATCTCATAATGAACATTATCCATAAAATGTTCATCTCGGATTCTACTACTAATAACATTTAACCTAATTTATCAAAAAACTAAGATCTTATTTTGGAAATATTTTTGTTACATTAAATAAATTACCGTTACTAAGAAAACAAACTTAGTTATAAGTGTATTATTGTTTTTAGGGTTAAAAACAAACTACACTGCTTCAGGATTATAATTTAAACAAAAACAATAAACAGGATTATGAATGATAAAATTTTGAAAAAACAAAACTTAATACTGTAAAAGGTTTTAGTTGGTAAAAACATAAAGCTAGAAAGTTAAAAGTTTACTTTTGAGTATATTCATATATATGAAGCTGTTATGAAGCATTGAAGTAGTGTTTCATCTTTGACAGGTTGATACAAAAGTCACTTAATCAGTTAAGAAGTAATGAGTGTAGAGTTTGTAAACTATTTTTGTATCTTAGTAAATTCATCGTTTTAAGTGACAGGAAAAAATCGAAATCATTATCAAGTAATTTAAAGACTGTAATTAAATAATGTTGAATCATTTCACACACTATAAAGTAGAGGATAAATGTAATTCATCTAATCTAAAGGTATACGAAGGCCTCAAAATTCCGTGTATGAACACATTTGTAAGACTTCAAACTTTTTCAAAAGCTCATACTCTTTGCTTAGACAAGAGTTAACTGTTTGTATTAGTAGTATTTTTGCTTTAAGCAGATAAATACAATAGTATCAACCTTTTAACATTTAAATAGGTGACTGAATGAAGTACCTAAAATATTACTATTTAACATTCCTTTGATAGTGAAAACATAAAATAGTACCAGTCAGTGCTCATGATTAATTAAGAATCATGAAAATGTGTAATAGAGGTTCACCACGAGATCTGTTGAACATGGGGGGGGGGCGTGAGTATGCACTGCAACTGTTACATGCTCCATAGGTTTTAATAGTATGTCAAATGAGATCAATCTGTGTTGAACACTGCTCAGGGGGGTTTTGTGGGGATTGTAGTGATTTAGTAATTGAATTCATGAGTCAGTTGAAGTTAAATCACCATGGAAAACCTGGAAGCACTAGACTGATAGGTCCTAGCTTCGAATCTCGCGAGACGGGGTCATGGATGCTCACTGCTGAGGAGTCCTATACTAGGATGAAACGGTCGTCCAATGCTTCCAGATGGTCTAGATTCAATTGAATCATTAATTCAATTATTAAAAATATACTCACTAAATAACATACAACAGATCTAGTCATTGCCTGTCAGTCTCTGAGTCTTGAGTTTAAACCTTGCTTTACATACATCAGCTTATACAGTCTATTGGTATCTTTCGGTATCATACAAAACAATATAACTGAAAGTTGTATAAAGAATTTGTATTTAGTTAAACACCAAAATCAGTCAACATTCAGTTGATTGTGAAAATTATTAAAGATTTTGTTACGAAATAGAATTGTGAAGTTTATAAACTGTATTTGTTCGAATTACAACTCAATCAATTGTAAACAAGATATAATGAGTGTTTATTGTTTAGTTTTCCATTATAGAATGAATTTTACTATTACTTTATTCTTATTATTATTATTATTATTATTATTATTATTATTATTATTAACACTTTACTAAGCCAACACATGATAAGAGCAGTTTAATTTATCGTTGCTTACTACTGAACTTACCGGAACTATTATAATTAGAAAAGAATTTAATTTTATGTAATTTGATAATCGAGTATAGATTCACTTGTAAAGTCATACGTAAACTTTTATTATTATTATTATTATTAATATTATTATTATTTGCGTGTAAAGGTTAGAAATAACGTGTGATAGAGTAAAATTTATTGTTCTAAGTTTAATGTTTCTACTACTAATACTCACGATTCAACATACTTAAGTGATAAGAATTCAATAGTATCATAAAGATCATTTGTTGTTTAATAGCGTTTACTCCGACAGTTATTTACTCATCTATCTAGGTTACATCATTTTGTGAGTAATACAGCTTATGCCTATCAGTTTTTACAAGAATGTGAATCACAATTACTTATGATATTATTCACAGTAACTTACGTCATATATATATATATATATATATATATATATATATATATATATATATATATATAAATTTAAAGATTCATCAGGTTACCATAGGAGTTCTGTGGGTGCCGTTCAGTTCGAAAATGGTTAAAATGCACGGACTGACTTTAGCGAAAAAAAACAAACCCATTTAAAATCGGTAGGTGAGCGCTGGTCAGCTGTTTAATCCTAATATTGGACTTGTCTACAGGTCACACTGAAGCTCCCCTTCAAAGATTGGAACCAACTCCTTCAGTGAGCGTGTTACTTCTAGACAAATTAGTTGGCAGGTAATGTGGTTAGTACCATATCTCATGTTAAATGAATTTAGAAATGTGGACGATTGGATCCCTGTCAATCATCTATAAAGATGTTTTTTAACAGATTAAGATACTTTATGTTCGTTATTAAAAAAGGAAGCAATTTTCTATTGTGTTTGTCTGTAGTGCGTAAATTCATCAACTGTTGGGTAGTTTGCTTTTGCTTTATTTGTGTATTAACTCTACCACATTAAATTATTTTTCCCAATCCGCGATGAGTTTTTCCAATAATATTAACATGTCAGTCGATATTGTTATTCAGGGTTGATCAGGCGTTATCACAAACGGATTGAGACTGATTAATATAGATCATTCGATTCCTCAATGGTTTAAAGGCATAGGCTTCTTTGGGCCACCTAAGACCTTTATTTTTGATCCAATATTCGTTAGTTGTTGCGCATCTGTGACGAGTCGCTCTGACCTGAATAAAAACAACCGTTAAATACTCTTCAGCTTTTCAGTGGTATCAGTTTGCGTTACAAATTATATATAACATGTACAAAATTTCTACACAATTATCTTGATAAATAACTAATTATGATAAGCAATATAAACAATTTAAGTGTACTTGTATCTGATGAACTGTATTTGAACAAAGGTGGTGATGATTATGTTTAATTTGAAAAGAAACTTAAGTTTTAGTTGAAATCAAACTACAGAACTCTAGATACCAAAATGATCGAGCACAGTTTTAGTAAAGATTGGTTGCGACTAGCAGTTGATATTTATGCTGGAACTCCAACCCAATAACTTCTACTTCAAAAGCCTACACGTTATTCCTTGAGCTACTTATTGCAGATAGCCAATGACTTGTTTGACAGATATAAAATTGTATGTATACATATATCACTATTGCAATACAAACAAATCCAGCTAATGAGTTCAAATAGGGATGAAAGTTCTTCTTAAATTCAACCACCAACCAGAGTCCATCTTTTACAAAACTTGTAAATAAAGACATTGTTGAGGCGATCTGTTTTATGATAACACATTCCAATAGATACTGATTAAATGGATTCCTTACTATTGAAAACAGGTAAACTTAGACTTTTTCGTTCATAAATTAAACGAACTATCCGAATAAATACAAAACATAGACAATAATGATAATCGTATCTTTTTCACTATTTCAAATTTGTCATTATTCTTCATATATTATGATATTGTTTTATACATTGTTTGACTTTATTTTATTTTCTTCTTCATAAATAAAGGCATTAGCTGGAACGGTAGCAACAGATGAAATGAATATTATTACTGGTGCATTAGCTTTAACTACTAAAACTGTAGCTGATGTAATGACACCATTATCTGATGCATTCATGTTATCTTATTCAGCTAATTTAGATTTTCATACAATGAATGAAATTTTCTCAAATGGTTATACACGTATACCAGTTTATGAAAATGATCGACAAAATATTCGATCTGTATTAAATGTAAAAGATTTAGCTTTTATTAATACAGATGACAAAGTTCCAGTATCAACTGTTTGTGATTTTTATAATCGTTCAATTATCATTGTATTGGATACAACTAATTTAGGAATGATGTTAAAAGAATTTCGTCAAGGTTAGTTTAATGTTTAGCATATTTATTCTTAGATACATTTCTTTGTATAATTTATCTTTTTAGTTTGTTAAATTTGTGGAGATTGTTAAATTCTATAGTTTACATCACAAACTGATCTTAATTAAATAACCTTTGAAAATCTCGCAGCATTGAACAACTGTTTGATCTCAGTATGAGACCCCTTAACCATGTGCACTCCACTGGGGGTCGAACTCAGGAATTTGAGGTTTCACAGGTAGTACCTAAAATTTAAGCCATTGAGTGAGCACTCATTAGTTCACATTTTTTAATTCATCATCAATCTTTTACACTTATAATAATAGTAATAACAATAGTAATGTGTTCATTAGTTACTACTTTAGAGCGACAATTCCTAAAGTTTTAATAAGAAAGTGTGATCAAGTGGAGTTTAACTGTACTGAGAGCGGGGCTGTTACCTACCAGTAGCACTCGGTAATGGTTTAACAATATCGCAAACCGATCGAAGTTATAAAGCTAAACCACTGGATCCAAACTCAATAATCTAAAAGCTAAGTCATCACCTGAAAGTCCTAGGTAAAATTTGTAACAATGTCGTGGATGCTCATTGTTCTATATTCTCGCAATAGGACTAAATATCTGTTCAACGTTCCCAGGTTTTCAAAGGGTTTCTAACTAAATTCAGTCCGTAATATAAACTATAATGTATCATTTACTTTATGTTCTCGTCTAATAATGACTATGTATAGATAATGTAACCTATTAACTATGTTTATAGGGTTATTAAGCTAACTCTAAATCAAATGTGAGTAAATATATCGTTACTTTTGAAAATGTATTGCTGACATCGGATGAAAATATTATGCTTGTAATATTGAGGTTCAGCAATGTGGGTTCGAACACAGTAATGAAATAATTGGTGTTACCATCCTAAAATATTCACCTCAATGGCTTGGAGATTTTTCAGGGATGTCGTCCTAGTGGCTTCTATATTGTGCATTAATGTTTGACTCTGAGACTAGGTGTAAAATGTTCAGAGATGGTCAGTTTATAACCTGGCGCTGTGTTTTAGTAATAATAATGGCTGCACAGAATCAACGTCTGTCCCTTCATCAAGACTATTTGGTTGGGATGCTAGAGACGGTGCAACCCAGTGGCTTGAAGCATCATCAGATACGGGTCAGATTAGAAGCCGATGATGGTGCTACTGCAGTTTTCTTCTACATTCTTCGTCAAAACGAAAGGAACTCCTCTAATTATGAGAAATTCTTTGTGGCTGTATTTTTACCTAAACTATGTAACCTATGGTGCAGTATTCTCGTTTACTTTTCTTTTTTTAGTTGTATTCCCATTTCTTTTATTTTCACACAATATTATCTGTTTATTTGTTTGACCTATACCTTTGGTATCCTGTTGTACCAGAATATATGCATACTACACACAAATAAAAATTAATAAGTACATATTTTTCTATTCGGACAATTGATTTTCGAGTAGGTTTTGTTTATAAAATGTTTTCAATTTATATAATACGGTCAATTTAAACACGTGACTGAAATCTTGTAGTGCAACCGGAGTTAAGTCTAAAGCATTCTATCTGGACAGAATATATCGTTAGTCACTTTGCCATGTTTGCTGTTTTAGTACAGTTAAATGTTACAGCATTACTCTACCGAAACTCTAATTAATTCTCCATGTTTGTATTTTCCTGTCTGTAATTCTAACAACTCCAATCGTCAGTGTTTATTGGTACATGTACATGTTGTACATGATATTTCAATTAACCACAAAACTTAATTTCTCATCAGATAACACGTCGGTGTTTGTAGCAAATGGTGGCTAGCATCGGAATTCAGGACACGAGTTTCGTCTTATTTGGGACTCGTCAACTGGATGTAACTGCATGTCAGAGTTGATATTCACTCTGGGACTCGAACCCAGTACCGTTCGCTTCAAATGCCATCGCGTTATCCACTTAGCTATTGAGTCCTGATAATAACAATGGGAGGATACATGTAAAACAACACCAATCGAATTCAAATGGTACTAGGTTTGAATCTGGGTGAGAACTTGGAGATTGAAATGCAGGCATATTCATTTGATAAGCTTTCCCCCCCCCACAAAAAAACGAAACGCTTTCTGAATTCTAATGTTAGCTAGTCTGCAACTTTAATAAAAAAATTCTTATTTAATGTTATCAAATGGAACATGTTCTTACACACTACCTAAGTGTTTCCATAATTTATAGTTACCTACTGAAATTTCGAAAATATTCATTTCATGAGTTTATCTATTCAAACTATATTTTTCTTGTTAAAGTGGCATCATAATTAAAAAAAATAAAAAACACCAAGACATAAATTGCCCGGTAACTACTTTCCTGTTTTTATTCACTAAAATCTTGTGTTATCATTTTGTTGTTTTCACCACGTTAAATCCAGTTTTTTTATTGTCTGTTAAAATATATTTTACGAAAAATGATGTGATTAGTAAATGGTAATTTGAATTCTTTAAATATCGAAATGGTTGCTATTATCAACTCATACTCAATCAATAATTTTGAACATGTTGGTAAGATTGTATTTCAATGATACATACTATAAGTCACTAATCATTGAGTTACCAAGTTAACAGTTCAAATATGGACTCGGAATATTCCAGTTTAGATGATAGCCTGGTATTGTTAACTTGAGATATGATATACCAAGAGGAATAAGAAATATTTATCATTTGAAACGTCATACTAGATACACGATTCATCATCATGAGTATAGGTTAGACAATACTTTATTTAAGCCATTTATAAATAGTGATAATCAATGAGTTCAGAGTAGAAACCAATACTAAGAAGGAAATCACAGATTAAATAGTTAGTAAGCTCTGTGTCCTATCACATTTGTTTTCTCTACCATATAAATTAATGTGTGTTTTGATGTATAATTCAATAGATTTGGCTAGTTGAATCGAATCCTTACGCTTCAGTACTTTTCCTTTTTATCCACTAGTTTAAAATTAAATCAGATTAAACAATAACAACAGAGTTGAGTTCAGACTGGAAAAAATTTACGCTAGCTTAAGACACCATATCGTGTCAGTACGACAAGTTAAAGAAAAATGAGTAGCAAGGTAGTCGAAATAGTCGTAATCATAATTAGAAGGACTAAACATTAAGAATTCAGTTTAAGAAGAAAAAGTGAAACGAAGAAATACTAGAACTCAGAGTCAATATGAAGATGAAGAGTGAATACATCTTCACTACCGTAATTGATTTTGATCCATGTCATCTAACGTCTCCAAACACTGATCGTAGTTATCTTGCAGAACCCAACCAGGTAGTCTGCATCAATTAATATGACTCCGATCAACAGTCGATGACCTAATGGATTGGTCCCACTTCATGGTTTCCCCACCCCTAACTTTCTTCCAAGTTAATTGTATTATAGCCATTATTACATGTCGAGGTGGGAGGTGGGTGGGCATCCGTAACACTTGTCCCGGACGCAGCTGATGATAACTCACAGCTTCATCAATCGATTCTCCATCTTTGCCTAGTACCTTGCATCTAACCTTAACAGTGTACATCCGTTTCTTCCACAATACATGAGCAGTGTTTCGAAGAGACTTGTGGTCAGAAACATTTTTCTTTTACCTTACTAACCCCTATCCTACATACACAAAGAAATACAGAATTATTTTCTGTGTAGTATAATTTTTCTTTGGTTGGTAGATAGGCATCTCGCCTCCTACAAGTAATGTAATTTGACACAATTCAACCGAGATTTCTGAATTTTCCCCGTGATTTTTTCAGATAAGCCACTTAGAACCTGCTACCAGGGCTGATGAGACTTTCAAGACAATTGAAGTAATCATCACACTCAGCTACTTCGCTCCTTATGATTAATCTAGGCGATGACGCAACTACTGATAAATTAAAACACCCGGCTTTCGATATGTCTCAAACTTCTAACTTCCTGGAGTAATTGACAAATTTTGTGGAAATTTTGGAGAAAATATGTCAAAAAATTGGTCTGGGTTTTCTCAAAGATTTTTACTGACTTTGAGGAAATTTATATAGATCTCAGGTTTTTGGACCTAACTTCAACTACTTCGTTTCTGGTGGCTGGTTAATGTATTTCTAGGATTCAGATGAAGATCGGGATCAAAACAGAGTACATGAATGAATAACAGTACTTGGTAGATGAGTTACGGTGCCTCGAATACTACGAATGCAAATCTATATTGGACAACATTCTTCATTACAAAATAATTTGTTTGTAACGGCTAGTTATACTACCTCTCTGGCCAAAGCAATCGAGATCGGAGCAGGATTCTAACCCATGATCTACTATTTTAAAATGGAACCCATGAACCACAACTTCACACATGGTCACAAGTACTTTCTAATTTGAAAGTTTATATATTGTCTCCATGTTGTAGTGTAAGCTTAGTTATTTGTGATGATATATAGTGAGCCTAAGGTAATACTGTCTAGCCTGTCAAGATAGAGAAATAAAATTCAATGTCACAGAGCGTATGTCAATCTAGCATGACGTTTATCATACAAAGATGATGACTATCAACCGTATTAAAGTTAACTTCAATCAAGAAACTATCATTAATTAGGTTGAACTATACTATAAATAATAAAACGTACAGTTAAGGGTTAGGGTTGAGGATTTAGAGTTAGATTTACAATTAGTGTAGAATAAGCACATTATTTACATTTTATTCTTAAAACATAACCCTAATTTTAACGTTAATTCTAATCTCCAAAGCCTAAATCCCAACACTGAACTACAATCGTAACCCTAAACTGTAACGGATTAGAATCTACGGTAAACTTGGGAATTTCATTCATCATGTAAAATTAATAGATTCCTTGTAATTCCTTTCATTTCGTACGATAATTTGTTCATCCATTAAAAAAATATTTTCTGCCTTTTGATAGAACTATTATTATTTTAACACATAGATATTGGTACAAGGAGGCACCAAATAAATATGCGCCACACAGATATCAA